TCAAATTTTGAATAACATAGTCCTCTCTTATTTAATAACATAGACCTCTCTTATTTGGAAACTGGAACAAATGTGAGGTTTGGGGTCTAGACATTTGTGGCAGACACAGGCTAACTGCATGCTGTTTTCAGTTTTCCACGTGTGTAATGTGTATTCGAGCTAGTTTCCCTTAGAAAGACCTCCACGAAGGCATCCTTTCCCTTAGACAAGTAGTCCTCGAGTGCTTTACCATAATTAAACCAAACTAGCCATAGGCGGACTTCTGTTTGGTTTTGTTTACATTCTACTCAGTGTTGTCTACATGTTAGCTGTTGACCACTGAAAGTTTAGAAGTCTCCCGTTCGAATTTTAATAATTAACATAAATGATTTTCTACTTATTATATAGAAAAACCACAAGGACTGCAAATTTAATAAAAATCTAGATATATGAAAATTTGTCAATGGTAACTATAAGGAAAGTGTATATATGGGTAAAACCTAGAAAACCAGTAAAAGTTTTATTGGTATTTTATGCAAATTATGCTTAAAAACACCTTTCTGAGCCTGCTTACATTGATATTTGCTCTCAAAATCAGTGCAGGTTTGTTTAAAAATATGTTTCACAGTCTTATCTGTACATTACGTGGCGACCATGAAGGTCGTGTTGTCACGTTGCTGACATTTTCATGGCTTCATTTTTGTGACGTTATGCTTCTCCATTTATTCTACCCCCCTTGGTCATAACGCATGATATTGCATTCGCTGCTAAATACTTCTTGTGCCCATAGCTTCATCGCGTACGTTTCTTGGTCGTGATGTATGACAGAAGAACTGGGATTTTGGTCTCTTGCGGCTGTTACGACAGTTAAATATCTAATGTGAATGATATTTTATCCGCGAACAATGTTATCTTAAAAAAAAAAAAGTTTATACAAAACTGCAGCTTCCACTGGTGAAATTTTATTCGTAATGGAAAATATCTTTCAGACAATCCATACATTGGTAAGGTTATGGATTATTATAATTCAATACTCACTACAGTGTGTCTGTGAGTATTTTTGTTTTGGTAGACTGCTGTCATTCCGTACACAAAGGTGGATCTACATCAACAACTAATTTCCCAATCTGTAGTTGACAGCCTCTATGGTTTAGCTTACACACGATGTGTTTTTCAAGTTAGTGTAAAATAATTGTTTCCAGTTTCTCAAATTACCATGAAATGAAAATTAACCCTTTCCGGCACGCTACCTTTTAAAGTCGGAGTTTTGATAAAAAGAAAAAGAAGGTAGGCAGTCTAATTAGGCCTAGAGGAGTACACAGGTAAAATTTTGTGAAGATAGCACTTATCGTTTTAATTCTGTGGGTGTGCCCAAAGTGGCACAGTGATTGAATAGAGCTTCGAAAAGAGTGCTGAAACGAGCAATGTTATCAATGAACTGACCGATGAGATGCAGAGAAACAAAGAATACAGACTCTCAGTTGTACTAGATTATCGGTGAGCCCGCTCTGGGCACACCTAGGGTTCCCCGTTTGATTTTAGGCAAGATTTCAAGGTAAAAATTTAAAACTAATACGGAATAAGGAGATTAGCCATACAGACAAAAAAATAACATAGAAATTTCTTTTCAAACAATTCCTTTTACACCCTAAAAAAAATCCGGAAGATTTCTTTGAAAAACTTAAACATGGTCTTAAAAAACTTAAACATGGCTAAAATATATGGACTGGTTTGTGTTGAGCTGCCATCTACTATAAATAAAGAAGGTTCAGAGTAAGCTATAAATCCTTTTTCATTCAATTTTTCTGTGCATACAGAAGGAAATTTTTAGGTGTCCAGACCAGACACACTGTACCGCAAAGGGTTAAAATAGCTTCTGATAGATTATCACATGTGTTATGTATATATATTTTGTTCATACTGTTCTTTGATGTAGTTCCGCAACTTCTTTTACATTTCTAATGGCTGCGCCGAAATGAAATGCATATTTGTTCCAAATAAGTGTATATTCCCAATTCCCACGAGCATATGAATGCTCCAAAACAGATGTTACTTCAAATCAGCAATATAGGCAACTCATGGTCTTTGGGCGCATGGAAATTAAACATATGTAAAACTGATATTCAGTAAACGAAAAATAACAGAAGGTTTATGTAGTATAGCTAATCCAAAGTGTTACCTCACACTTTGGCTATGATTACTGTTTACAGGAGACGGAGACCATCATTCCACCAAGAGGTTAGGTGGTATTGTCTCGCGTCCCCGCATATCTAGCATTAGAAGATACATCAAATAACATTGTAAAATATTGTAGCCGTTCTGGCTCAGCAAATAATTACATTATTTCAGATACTCAAATTACTTTACAGCCAAACATTCACTTACAATATTACGCATTACAAATGCATTTTACAGACTTTATAGAAATTCACAAGCGTATATTGCGCGACATCCAAATACAGTAGTAGTACAGAGAGAATTAAACTTGTAGAAACAAACTGAATGAATATTAAATTCTTTCTCTAGGCACTGTTCCTATTAATCCCCCTCCCCTCCAAAAAAGGTTAAATAAAAATTAAAAGTATATATAGCAAGTCATACGTCAGCTCTGAGTTTTACAGTCTGGGCGATCCCTCTCACCAGATGTTGTTTTACCACAAGCTTGCAGAAGGCTTATGTATTGTTGTTGAGGAATTTTAGGTGGTTTTCTCTGGTAAGTCGGCAGATGGTAAGTTAATGGTCTGGGGTTCCAATTTCTCCACAGACACAGGTGTTGCTGACGACGTGTCTATTAAAATATTCGAAAAAAGGACTATGTCCTGTAATAAATCATGTTAATTGTGGGGAAGTGATGTTCGTTTGTCGTCTACGTATGTGCGGCGGCTTGTTCACATTTCATCTACTCTGTTTACCATTTGGTCTGTGCCTTTGGTTTCAGGTGCCTCTTCAAGTATGAGAGTGGCCAAAGTGCTTTGGGGATAACGAATATGTCCTTGCTTCTGTAATCCTGTCCTGAATCTGTAATCAGTTTCGTTTCCACTCATCCCAGCAGCTTTCACCCAGGAGAGCGGGATGCTATGATACTGATGTCTCCGCAAGTCTGTTTGGATTTTGCGTAACTATAGGGAAAGTGTGATAATAGTTGAGTATTGACGGAAGTACCGACATGCTGTCTGTGTGGACGGTGACGTCCTGAAGGTTTCGCTGAATGCTGTACTAGATAGCTCTGGAAATAGCTTCTTCTTCGTTACTGTCGCTTAGTCGCTGCTTCCATAGATGTAAGGGTTTTTTTTTTTTTTTTTCCCTCCGTGCTGAAGATCTAGTGCGCTGCCAATTTTGTCTTCCATACGTGAGCTATCCGTGTATATAGCCGGAGTGTTGTTGCTGGAGGTATTATGACGAGGTAGATGTGTGTTTGCACCTTGCCCTGTTAGTGCTGGATGAACATGTAGCGTTATCGTTGGCATTTAATAACTGTTTGGATAATGCCACTCATCGAAGAAGCTTGGGAGTGCGAAGATGAAATAGTGATTGAATTACTGCTTCTTGCTCAACATGAATATGCAGTGGTGTTAGATCTGTCAGGACATTAAACGCAGTTGCTGTTGTGCGAAATGCTCTTATGATGTTTAGCGCAAATGAGCGCTTAACGTTGAGAAGACGTTATACTTTCCTCCCTTGCATCGGCTGAGCCCAGACTGGAACGGAATATATAACCATTCTTTCTATGACAAGGCTGTGACCTGTTCAAACATCTGAATTAAGTATTATTTCGAGCCGAATGAAGTGTATTTGAGATTTTCGAATAAGCGTATGTGATAGCGTAAGTTACAGGAGCAGATGTGCAATCCAAGCGCTGTGAACTGCGTGACAGATGTTGAACATTTGTCATTTCACTTGCAATAAGGAAATTTTATTTTTTATTACTTCAGTGATTCTGTGATTCTTTAACCAGCATTGATGATAATTATTACAGCTTCTGATGGAAATTATAGCTGCAAGGATTTCCAATAATCTGTTTGACTAATTTGTGTCACAATGATCTTCACTAAATAAGGGCCACATTTACAGAATCATGGGCTCCCCGGCTATTATACAGTACAAAGTCTGTAATCCGGACCTTAAAGCCACAAACTTTTTTTGTATGCTTTACGCATGCGCGTTTAGCACAAAAAAAAGAAGCAACTTAAACAACTTACATTGAAAGAACAAATAAATATTAAGCCTTTTGTAAATTTTTGCTACCCTTTAGATCATAATCGCTCTTTATTTCATAAATTACGGTTTTATATTTTTAATTATACAATTTCTGCATGCCATCTTACCAGATTTAAATTAATGATCTATAATTCGGAAAAACCCTTAATCCGGAATCGCCGAGTCCGGATTACGGACTTTGTGCTGTACAATGTTCTGAGACTCTTAAAGCATACCCAGATTAATATCGCAATAAATTTCCCCAAATATGGTCTACTATACTGACAGGGCTGCTGGGCAATGCCCATAATGTCTATTTGTTAAGAGGCACATAATGCAGTTATTAAATGAAAATATTTTTAAATACTCACGAATGCAACCAAACGAATCGAGAAGGAAATTTTTATTTCTTTTCTCAAAAATGTGAAATTCTCTACATAAAAAATTGCTGTTGCCTAACCCGAATTTAGAAATCTGAACAACTTCCAGAAAGAGAATTAAAGAAAGAGCGCTAGAAGTCAAGCAGGGTTAATTGCTTCTATTTAACGGATATCATCAGTAAGCGTCATTTTCCTTATTCATCAGGCTTTTTCAAGTTCGACGCCCAGATGTTCTGAAGTTATGCATTGCTTTCTTCGTTAGTCTCTCTTCCGATCAATAAAAAATAAGGAAAATTTCAATAAATATATATGAAGCGTAATTATAATCTCATTTCGCGCTAAAGGGAAGGTTGTTCGACTTGAATTAGAAATATAGCTGCACATTCTATCCAGCAATGAACTGTTGAACTCAACTTCGGCTCCTGATTTCTTTAGTAAGTTGTTTTTAAACAATTTTACGAATTTTAATTTAGAAAAGTTCTTAAGATACTTGAATTTTTCCAAGACAGAACAAATTATCTACTATTTCGACGACAGGACCTTCTTCGGGAATTTTTGAATGGTTTTGATTCACGTCTACGTTTATAAACCTAACAAAAGTAAGCAACTTTCTGTTTCGCTCAAGATTAGAATTCGAGAAAATTAACCAGTGCTGTATTTCTTTTATCCCTGTAAATGCTTAATATACAAAAGAAATAGATTTCCTGCAAAATTTTATGAAGAATTCTAGCTTTATGTACTGACCAAGGAAACAGTTCCGGTACCGTAGCTACTACCATTTCTGGAAAGTCAATTTCTTTGCCATAAGTTTTAAATCTGAAAAAAATTTTTAAGTCTATGCAGTATAAGTTTTAAATCTTTAAAAATATTTCTGGAGAGTCAATTTCTTTGTAATTTTGTAAGTTATAAAGTTTCATCAAGGGGAGCCATTTTCTTTGTAAGTTTGAAAGTAATTTTGGTATTTTAAATCTGTAAAAATATTTTAATTCTTTAAAAGACATTTCTGAAATTGACATTCATTACGTTTAAAACTGGCTGTGTGTTTTAAAATGCTTTAAACTGATATATCAGCAGGCATATCGCACTAAGGTGTTTACATGTTTACCGTTTCTGACACCAATAATTTTGGGTTTCCATGATAGCTTTTTATTTAAGTTAGATCAGTTTATTTCGTATTATTTCATATTTCAGTAATTTTTCTTTTCAAAAAAAATTTTTATCTTCTCATTCAGTTAATCTCTAAGTCACCTCAAGTTTTTTTATGCTGTAAGTTCCTTCCCAAGTGCTGTTGATGTTGCCACTTGTTCCCATGCAAGTTCAATCATTTCTGTTCTGTGTCTTATGTTGAATTCCTTCAAAAATGCTATAATAGTGGTTATCAAAAATTTAAGGACACTTGGTACCCCAAAATCGATTAAATTACCGATTTTTCAATTTTTTGGTAAAAAGAAAATGCCTTTATCCCCTTTCTAAGCTGAAGAGAAATTTTGAAATGATCTGACGATAATAAATGATATAAAAAAGGTTTTAAAAATTTTGACAGCACTTTACCGTTACACCTTGCAGTATACCACAGAAACTCCCCCGATGCCAATAGAATGAAGGCGTGGAAAGCAGCGTTTCTGGAGACAGAAGATGATTCGGTAAGAGATGTCCACCAGCGGTAAAATTGCTGAAGCTGGTAGTTTGGTCCGGGGTTTGAATCCCGCGAACTGGCTGGCTGCATGGGTATTTTCGGGGCTTTCCCCATGTGTAACGTGTATACGAGCCAGTTTCTCTTAGCAAGTCCTTCACGAAGGCATCCTTCCCCGTAGACAGACAGCTCTTTAAGCTTTGCTGTAATCACATCACCCAAACTAAATCTGTTGGTAAGAGACATAGTAGTAGACCATCAAGAACATCAGAGAAGATTGTTAATCGCATTTCAGATACGTTTGCAAGAAGTCTTAAGAAATTCGTTCGGAAGACGTCACGTGAGCTTGGTATCTCCGAAATCAACTACCCACGATGGGCTACACAAACGCCTACACCTTCATGCATAAATAGTGCAATTATTAATCTGGTGAAACCCGACGATAAACCCAAGCGAACAGCGTTTGCAGAAGAAATTCACCAGCGCTAACCTAGAGAGAAATCGAGTCTTGAGTAGACATTGTGTAACGTGTATACGAGCCAGTTTCCCTTAGAAAGTCCTCCACGGAGGCATCCCTCCCTTTAGGGCAGATAGCCCTCGTGTGCATTGCCATAATTGAATAATCCAATCCAATCCTTGAGTAGACATTCTCCGTGCCGCTCATGGAGTTCTTGTAGAACAAACAAAACTTTGTGTCTCTATTGTTGTGTGAGTCTTCTTTATGTATCGAATACATGTATTAAAAGATATTTCAAATTAGGGCGTTTCGTCTCTTAAGTGCTATATTTTCATAAAATTCTGTAATGTTTTTTGAGAAATTTTACAAATGAAAATATATTTATAGAATCTCCATTTAAATAATAAAACTTGTAGCCACATTTCTCTAACAACCTGCATAATAATTTGTAAATTAAACTTTATCGATTTGTAAATTATGAAATATTTTAAACTTTTCTTGCAGGCTGCGTACTGGAATATTTCACATCAGTCGAAGAATGTACTGAGTGTTTTACAGACCTTAAGCTGAAAAGACTGACCATCTGGTATTACTAAGATATTTCTAGCACTGGTTCGAAGCAATATTAATTTATTTTTGAAATTAGCACTGTCTGCTTCTAGTATAAAGATGCTTTTTAAGGTATGATTTATAAAATTAAATAATTATATATGAAGACGTTGTTTTTTAACATGTATTGTTTTTAATATTTCATAAAATTCTGTGCTTTGCAATCTATTATTCTAATTAATGAGAAATTTTATGCTAATTGTATACTAAATATTTGTAGGTACGTTTTCTTAAAATGCTATATTCTTCAGTTGAATCGGATGCCGTATTGAGTTCCATGAAATTAAGATATTCACCATAAAAAATTCAATCACTATTTATTAATCATCCAAACAAGTCGCTATTTAAAAATATTTAAACTATTTTGCTAACTATATTTCGCGGTTCTGCTGGCGAATATGCATTCTTATACGGAGTTACTGTTTCTGCATCACCCACACGCTCAAATTAAATTAACGTAGAAGAAAATTTTAAAAAACAGGTGTGGATTAATTTACGGAGTCTATGAATATTTTCGCAATTCTCGAAGAGTTACGTCAGCAGAATAGTGTTTCCTTATCTACGGATAATAAATTCCAAAATTTATAAAATAAAATTCTTAGAAGCCTAACAAATTCACCGTGGTTTGTCAGAAATCAACAGATACATCAGGATTTAAAAATTCCTCGTGCCCAAGATTATTTACTGATTACCGCGCAAAATTTCTGCAGAAGTGTACAAAATTCAGAACATCATCATATAGCACAACTCGCAAACTATGATCCAACAATTGTGCATCCATTCAAGCGTCCTCGTCCATCATAACTGTGCATATTAAACTTCGCCAGCGCAGGCCCAAAGTGCAATAACCTCGTTTTTCTTCCTGCTCATAGTTAATAAATCTCATCAAAGCAGCAGATATTAGACCAAAGACTGTGATTTAAATGACAAAATATTAGAACTTTTGTTTTGAATTCTACAAAACGGGAATAGGACGTTGTTGTACCTTACTTCAACCCATATTATTACTCTCAACGCATTTTCATTATTCTAGTATTAGCGCATTTAAACTTGGCAAATAATTTTCAAGTCCTCATCGCAAGAATGCAATTTTTTGACATATAATTTACATCATCTATGTTTATTAAATTTTAACTTTATTATGCATTTTATTTAGGAAATAACATTTTCATGTTTGTTTTACTTAGATACTAATCCAAGTCGCGCAAAAGCTCTTCTATTTCCAGCCAAAGACCTCAGAGCACAGCGCCAACCTAGAGGTCAAAACTTCTAGCGGTTGATGCCTCAAGAACCACCATGCACCAGATGCATGAAACCGCGGCTATTAACAAGCACTGTAACAACATAACATGACAACCGTGATTGATAAGACTTCTTACGGCGGTGATTTGGATGCCCTGAAGGGAAGGTTAAGATTATTTCTGTTGCAGGTATCAGGTTTTGTAAAATAAGTCTTGACTTGAAGCTAGGCACCATTTATTGCCATGTGTTCCTTGATATGTGATGCAAATAGAAGATGTAGAGAAACGTATTGACATTTTGTCGGGGCGTGATATATTTCGATTTTTTCCGAGGAAGAGGGAATTGCTTTGAGGTTTTCTGACGCTGTTGATAAAGTTGTGGTTCGCCTACTATTTTTATGCAGTTACAATTGGCTGGGAAAAGGTCGTGGCAGACTGTGATTGACCAACTAATTTGAAACGTGGCATGGTTGTATCGGCAGTTGCTGTTTAATTAATAATCAAGCGAGTAGTTAAAAAAGGGAAGATTTTGTTGAAAGGGAGAGTGTAAGTTTTCTTCTAGCCTTCTCAGGTTTTCAAACTATGGTGAATTTTGTTGGATTTGGCTTGATGTTGATGTAAAGTTAAGCGAAAATGAAGAAGTAGAAGAAAAAAACGGAGGGAGAGAGAGAGAGAGAATGCGGGGGTTGACTAGTAGAAAGTGTGCAGGTTTCTCCTGAGATGAAGAAAAGGCACTTGGGGGGGATGATAACTAGTAGAACGGTGTGATGGTGGAGAAGAGTAATTACTGATGATGACTGACGAGACAAGATGATGAAAGATTACGAAACAAGTCTCGGCCTCATGAAAGATGATCGGCTGTACTGAATGATGAAATGTATGGTGTAGAAGAAAAATATGAACTTAAACAAATCCTTTGAGAAGCAAAATACCCAGCATGTGTACCTGTTCCCGAACCATAAATAGATTTTTTTGTACTTGTAGAATATCGGCTACTGGTTCCGACTGATGATGAGAAATTATCCCGGCGTTGTGTTCCTGTTTTCCGACGTGTAAAAGGGACTGTGCGGAACTGATATAGTGTAATGAAGTAAATGGCTAAACTTTAGGGAAAATATCGAACTGTGTTAAGTAATATAAGTGACTATATTAAAGACAGATTTCATTACATTTACAGTCCGACTGTCAAAAATTTTCTTCCTGTAGCCTGCTCGATATAAGTCATCCCCTCCATATATATAGTGATGATTATGGAAAACTAAGTGATTTGTGTGTGTGTGTGTGTGTGTGTGTGTGTGTGTGTGTGTGCGTGTGTGTGTGTGTTTGAATTTAATATTTAATGTAGTATTTAAGATCTTATATTTAAAGTGTGAATATTTATTTGGGAATTTAGTCCCGAGGTTAGTATAAGTTGTATTTGAATGTTTATTATGATCTTCATATGATAATATTTGAATGTTTATTATGAGCTTCATATGGTACTTAGGTAAATATATAAAAAGAAATATGAATACTTTTGTAGCTAAGGATATGTGTTTATTTAGAAATAAATTTTCTGTTCACGACAGTATAGTAAAAAAATTGAATATTGTATTATCTTAAGCGAGCCTGTGTATATGTGATTGCGGCTGTACTAAATTTGTCATAATATTTCATTTAGATTGAGGATTAAGAGTACGCATTCTGTTTTATCAATTATTATTATTCATGTTATATTGTGCCATTAAAATTCATTGCACAACACGTGCTTTGACATAAAATCGGACCTTTCTTCAAACAGTACTCTTTTTCCCCGTTTCTGCGGATCAAATTATGCTTAAATATCAAATATGAGTACTATGAATTCATCAAATATTGCAAATAACTGTAACAAAATTCCAACCATATCTAATTTTGTTGTTCTTTTCAGATTTTATTGTATTTAGCTACGCCCATTTCTTCAAAATTAGCGAATTTTGTGGAAAGCCTTTCAGATTGTTATGATGACTATTTAATTAAAAGAACAGGTAAGGAATTTTCTTCTTCTTCAGTAAATAGTTGGCTTCCTATTGGTTTACACTTCGAACAATTCTGAAATTATCTTAAACTTCAAAATTTCAGATGCAGAATCCTATTCTTTTATGCCTATGGATTTCTACATTCAAAACTTTGAACCTAAGAATGCTAACATTCTTTTTTCCTCTCTGTATATATATATATATATATATATATATGTAACAATAAAATTCCATAGTCAAGAATACACTTAATATTCTAACTGTATGTTCTTTTCATTTTTAATGGCGACGTTCTCTTATTTGAAAGTACGTGGAATTAAATCCTCAGCCTCGTAGTCAAGTTGTTTTTCCCGCTTTTTCTACACGTACAGTTTTAGAATGTTCTGGAAATATTTAAAGCGAACTGGATTGGCTGACGAGGCTGACGTCATTTCTTGAAAGCTCCGCCTTTCCAGAGGCTATAAAAGGACTCGCAAAAGAATATCGGGGCTTTTTTTTAAATGTCATGATGCAGTAAACTTCATACAAAAAGCTATTAGTAATTCTTTTTATTTACTCCGGATATCTGATTTTGTGACTGCTATTTCTCCTGAATAATAATAAATGGATTCTGTTTTTTTTTTAAACTTATCGTCTGATAATTTAAGCTACGACTAAGCTGGTACATCACATATATATATAATAATGTTGTATGATCTTAAATTCACTTAGTGCGAAATCGGGTTATTCTACTACTCGTACTTGCGCAATAGCTGCAAAGTAAGTTAATAATAATTTATTTGCTAAAGAAATATTGATTATATTATCTCCTAAGATTAATTTTAGTAGAATTATCTAAAAAAGAGTGAATCCATAGTTAGTAAGTTTAATTCCGAAAATTGTTTTAAAGTAATTTGAATGTAAATTGTTAAAAATGTTTAACGAGGACTTGAATTAAATCATGAATAACAAACTTTCAATCGTAAAAAGAAATTATATTAAAGTAAGTAATTAAATTAAAAGCAAGTGATCATTGCCATTGAACGGAAATTAGTTGATTTTTCAAGGGGAACAAACCAACTCCCGTTCAATGAACAATAATTAAGAAATAAATACGAAGGTGTTTCGTCCTTTACTCAAGTAATAAGGCGATACCAAACTGGCAATTTAAGTTAGGCCAAATATTTCCGTGAATTGAAGGGATCAAGAACGAATGCAGAGCACTAAAGAACTCAATAAAGGACGAAACACCTTCGTATTATTTATTAATTATTGTTCAATTGAACGGGAGGTTGGTTTGTTCCCCTTGAAAAGTCAACCAATTTCCGATCGAATGGCGATAACTACTTGGTTGATTAATTTAATTCGTATTTTAAAGTTTGAATTTCTATTACATTCAAATTTTGTTATTCATTATTGAATTCAAGTCCCTTTAAACATTTTTAATATTTACATTCAAATTACTTTAAAACAATTTTCGGAATTACTTATAACTATGGATTCACTCTCATTTAGATACATTCTACTTAAAATTTGTATTAGGAAGTAATATAATCAATATTTCTTTAGTAAATAAATTATTATATATCTATACTATACTAATCTTACAATCCGTTTTGGGAAAATCAGAGATATGCCTTATTCTGTCTGTATATACAGCTTCGAAAGTTACATTCAAGAGAACAGTCGAAAGTTTAGAACTAATCGATTTCAGAGCGGTCAAGAATGGAAATTTTCTTTGAAATTCATAATTAATAAATTTCAAACAATCTAATAAATACAACAAAGAATTTAATAAATGTAAAAACCAAAACTTAAACAATCAATACCCAAATTCAAAAAAAATTCCTTGAAGAAAATTATATAAATATAATGCAAAATTAATTAAGAAACAAATTGCCTTTTTGGACTAATAATACGTTTGAAATTCATCCCATATTCAATTCAGAATAAATACATGCAAAAAAGGAAAAGAAAGGGGGGGAACTAGAAGCACAATGGCAACGTGTGAGAAAAAAGGAGGGCAAAAACAGGCCAAAACCAAAAACGGAATTACATCTTTCGCTGCATCGGAATCAGGATGTGTTTGCAACAAAAGAATTAAATAAATCAGCCTGTTTCTAAAACAATAAAAGCAAATTAAAGTTTAAAACTTAAAAATCATCTCAGAAAAATAATCTGAATAAGAAAATGTAATTTGTCTCTTTATCATCCCAACCCCTACAGGCCAAAGTAAGCAGTGGAAACAAATGCAAAATTATAGCATCAAAAACACGAAGAAATTTTAAAAACTTCTCTCAATTCTGTCGATATGCTGAAGTCTGTTATTTTTTAGGTAAAATGTACTTTAATTTTACAGTGTATAAAATAACTGTGGCTTTTAATCCTTTTAGGTACTTATCAGAATCTGAAAATCGTTTTTTAAAAACTTGATTGGTTTATTTTACGACTTATGCAAAGAGTTTTGTAAGGTGGAGGCTGTTCTGTACGTCCTGAGAAAGGGCCATCTGTAAACTTCGTTTTGAGCAATATGTTTATCCTTTGTAAGGTTAAAACCCAATTGGAGGCTGTTCTGTATGTCCTGAAAAAGGGCCATCTGTACAATATGTTTATCCTTTGTAAGGTTAAAACCCAAGTAGAGGCTGTTCTATATGTCCTGAAAAAGGGCCATCTGTAAACTTCATTTTGAGCAACAGGTTTATCCTTTGTAAGATTAAAACCCAAGTGGAGGCTGTTCTGTATGTCCTGAGAAAGGGCCATTTGTAAACTTCATTTTGAGCAATAGGTTTATCCTTTGTAAGGTTAAAACTCAAGTGGAGGCTGTTCTGTATGTCCTGAAAAAGGGCCATCTGTAAACTTCATTTTGAGCAACAGGTTTATCCTTTGTAAAGTTAAAACCCAAGTGGAGGCTGTTCTGTATGTCCTGAGAAAGGGCCATCTGTAAATTTAATTTTGAGCAATAGGTTTATCCTTTGTAAGGTTAAAACTCAAGTGGAGGCTGTTCTGTATGTCCTGAAAAAGGGCCATCTGTAAACTTCATTTTGAGCAATAGGTTTATCCTTTGTAAGGTTAAAACCCAAATGGAGGCTGTTCTGTGTGTCCTGAGAAAGAGCCATCTGTAAACTTCATTTTGAGCAACAGGTTTATCCTTTGTAAGGTTAAAACCGAAGTGGAGGCTGTTCTTTACGTCCTGAGAAAGGGCCATCTGTAAACTTTATTTTTAGCAATAAAGGGTAATTAACCCTTCTCAAGTTTACGTGTCTGTCTCCTGAACTAAAGCGATTATTCGCTTAGGAGTTCTCAAAGTTCCACACATTTAGCTGTAAATTCTAGTTAGGAACCTTATAGTTTAATTTCTAGTGCTTAAAGACTTTCCTTTTACAGATCCCGCAGTAATGAACTGGCCATTAGTGAGCAATGACGCTTTGAATTTTTTCCTAATATTCTGCTACGTTTCATTTGTATTGAGAATTGGACCAGCGATTATGAAAAACCGTGAAGCTTACGATCTGAGGTGGTTGATGGTACCTTATAACGCTGCGCTTGTTATAATGAACTTTTATATATTTTGGGAGGTAAGTGTTTCTCTTTTTAGTTTGGAGTTTATCAGTGTTCTATAATTTATATATTTTAAGAGTCGATTTCGAGTGAGTCTTTTTTCTCAGGGAGAATGAATCTTTGCATGTGTATGTAATAATTATGCCCTTTAAATACAGATGAACACGTGCGGTTATCTGTTGAGTAAAACAAAAAGGAAAGCGGAAAAAAAATTTGACGTGTACACCACATGACTTCCTTGTACAGAATATTAAATTATACGCATTTTTTTCTTGAATTTCATTTAAATTGATTGGATTGAATTAAATCTACTTCGTCGACAGCGCATAAACCACAATAGAATAAATGCACTCTTTAAAATTCACTATATTTGTTTACAAATAACGACACTCTGATGCACAAAATTTATATCATTTGAAGAATTATCGTTGCCACACATTTCTATTCAAATCTATAATACGCTAAAAAAGATGTATGAAAGAAATTAAGCAAACGAAACAGGAAAGAAACAGTTTTTCACATACGATTCAGTATTTCTCATTCAATTCAATTAACTCACTTCGCGACAAGGCAAAATAACATAAAAACTCAAAATATCTGCATTAAATTACGAATAAATCTTAACACATTTTTCCTCGAAAAAATTCCAGAAGGATTAAGCATGATTATTCGCAATAATAAATGAAGGAGTTATTTTTTGTGTTGCGAAGCTTAGTCTCTCTAGATTGGCACAAATCTACAATTTGATCTTCCAATGTAAACAAATATGTCGCCATGTTATTTAAAACTTAACCGCACTTAAACAGCTTTTAAATTGTTGATAATCGTACAAATATTGCTTCCAGAATTACGAAAGGCATAAAAGCTTTAACCGGAAGATAAAAACAACATAATTCAACCATTTTTAAAGCAAAAAATGTACAATTTACAAACATATAGGAGTAAAGAAACTGAGATCACTGAGCCGGGTAACAGAGTGGATATATATATAAATATATTTATATACGTTTGGTGCGGCCGATTGCAACCAAAATACGACAGCACATCTACATGTTATAGCAGTCCTATATACAAAATTTCAACGTTCTGAGGCTACTTGTTTTTGAGTTATGCGAGATACGTACGTACATACCTTCGTGCAGCGGCCACGAAAAATTCTCTTCAGAATTAATTTTAAAGCAGTTTTATAATTTTTTTGGAGGAAAATAGTCTTTTATTCTGTCCTTACGTACAGATATCACGCAAAAACATTGTTAAATTGCATTCGATAGCGGTCAAAATGGATATTTTCTTTGAAATATGTTGCCTGAAACTTTTCGCGATTACAATACTTCCTTTTTACTTCGTACAAGGAAGTAAAAAAGGATTGTAAAGGTAAAATAAAATAAAACAAATTTGTATTATAGCCGAAAAGAGTGTGCTCACCATCTAAAGGCCAAAAACATAAAATAGAAAAACAATTGGATTCCCATCAAGATGGCCTTGATTTCGAGCCCCGTTGACGTAAAATCAAGGTGCGTTCACACGACTACACTCCCGACGTAAATCGAAGAACGAAACGCATGTCACCGACGAAACGTCACCGAAACGAAGACGCAAGCTGAGTCTGCGTTTAGCCCAATGGTTGTAAATCTTTTTTTGTCCCAATAACCCCTTTGACCACTGCAAGACGACCATCCCCCATCCTTTCCAAAACTCGAAAAATACATATACATTTATTTAAATATAGATTATTTTAATGCATTTCATAAATTAAACAAGGAAAAGTATAGAGAATGTTGATAAATAGCGTACTTAAATAAAAGCTTTTCTTAGTAAAGCAATGTATGAAAATGTGAGGAATTATAGAATGAATGTATTACATTGATGGATATTCGAAATAGAATGAAGATGTACACTCTTTCGCAAAAAAATCGAAGCACCAAGAAGGACTTTTGCGATCGTGACGAAATTTGGTATGCAAAAACATTTTGATCGAACATGCAAGTGATCAAAGTTTCAAGGCAAATGAACAGGAATTGCGATTATAGCGCGCATTTTTACTTCGTACAATTTGGAAGTAAAAACCAGTAACAGAGGCGGAATTTTTTTTTTTTTTCTTTTTTTGTTGCTGCCATTGTAATTCCGTAAAGAAGCAACTAAAAATGTCATTACGACGATATCGAAGATATCCATATCGAAGAATACAGACAACTAAACGACTTCGAACGTGGTCGCATTGGTAGGGTTGCGTGAAGTTAGGTGGTTATATCCGAGCAATAGGCCGCCACTTGCAGCGTACAGACACTGCTATGCAAAGATGTTGGCAGCAATGGCTGCTACAAGGAAATTGCCGACGAAACGAAGGCTCTGGAAGACCAAGGAGCACAAATGCGAGGCAAGAGAGGATGACTGTTCGCCAGGCCCGAAAGGCCCCAACGGTATCATTGTCGACTATTCAACGCACTGTAGCCACGTCTATACCACCCGTGGTACCGCCCACCATCTCACGGCGATTGTCTGAGGCGAGGTTAGGCTCACAGAGGCCTTTAAGACGTTTGCCTTTGACCCCACAATATCGGCGGAGTCGTCTGGACTGGTGTCGCAGCCGATCATCATGGCTGCCATCTTAGTGGCAACTTATAGTGTTCAGTGATTAATCCCGCTTCACTCTTGAAGCAGATGACCCAACGTGTTCGTGTCTGGAGAGGACTGGGCCAGTGGTCCCAGTCAGCCTTTGTTTTACAAAGGATACAGCCATAAGCCCTGGTGTGACTGTGACGGTGTGGGGCGCTATTTCTTATGACAGCAGGTCATCTTTAGTCATCCCCCGTACGTCTTTAACAGCTCAACAATATGTTGATACCATCCTGCGGCCGGTTGCATTACCCTTCATGGCACGTCATCCTAGGGCCATTTTCCAACAAGGTGATACCAGGTCACGTAACGCTTGCATATCTCTGGACTGTTTCCTTGCGGTTGATATTCTTTCTTAGCCAGCAAGGTCACCAGACATTTCACCAATCGAGCATGTATGGAGCATAGTAAGCCACCAGATTCGGGCACCACAAAATATGGCAGATCTGGAGCTACAACTGATGAATGCCTGGCAGATTGTGTCGCAGGATGACATTAGGAACCTATAACACTCCTTGCCTCGACGAATTCAAGCATGCATGTGAACATGTGAACCGTGAACAGGTACTATGACCTTGATATTTTAATCATTTTATTATCTGTGTATGAGCTATACACATATTCAGTTTCATCAAAAACAACCACTTCCTTCATGGTGTTTCGATTTTTTTTTTTTTTTTTTTTTTTTTTTTTTTTGCAAAAGAGTGTATTTCATACTTTACCAGTTTGCCATTTGGCCGTCTGTAGAATGGCTAGGAAATGTGCGACATTTTAATCATTTCATATAGTTCCAGCCACTTTTTGACAATCTATAAAATGCTTGGTATGCTATACAATCCCGACTTTCATGCTTTGTCAACATGTACATGAATTCGAAAAATATACTTTCACATATTTATCCAAATACAGAGCAATGTAAACAAAATATAGCAAACAAAATATATACAGATATGTATTCACCAGAGATATTGTTTGAAGAAAATCTGAAGGATTATTATAACAGTATTGAATCCATTATTTCAAAGTCTTTAAAAACGTTTCCAACGTATTCTTCACTGACATGAACCAGATTTTATTCTAATAAATCGGGATTATAAATAAATAACTTATTTTTGCATGTATTGGTTGCAAGTCTTTACGTGCAGGTATATTTTAAACCGTCTGATTCCTAAACTGAAACATGAACTAGTTTTTTATGTATTTCAAACACAAATTTAATGTTTTAATTATTTCAAAAAATAGAATTGGATAGGAATGAAGACAGATGAAGGAAAGAATAAAATGCTATATAAATTACAATTATGATCCTTTTTTAAATTCCTACTATTTAACTCACACTCTCTCTATATCTTCTTCAAATTTTCAGTCGTTAATAAAATACTTTTTATTCACCCACTCAAGTTCAAAGACATTTTTTAAAACTTGTAGTAGATGACTCTTGATGTTAATTTAGTTTTTTCACATCTTAAAGTCAATTCCTACTTATTTATTCCTGTTTATCGAAACTAATGGTATGATGTTTTTATTTAAAATATATTGTAAGACTTACAAATAATGACTGTTTATTAGGAATTCTCAGGTGCTGTAAAAATTAATTTTGTAACAAGTTCTAAATAATAGTACACGACTGTGATTAATGGGATTGTAATATTTAACAAAAATAAGTTCCAACAGTAAGACAGAGTTCTAAAGATTTTTAAAGTGTATGGAATTAAAGAATTGTAGTTTTATAGAATTGGATGAAGCGGATGTAATATTCCATTACTTCGCAAAATAAGTTGCGAAGCACTGTAGATTATGCAGTAAGCACTGTAGGCACTGTAACACGGTAGATTATGTAGTAGTAATATCTAGGAGGAAACTCTTCGCAGTCGGTCAAGCCATATGTCGCCTTGAGGCGTGTGAAATCATTAGATGGAATATTAATTGAAGAACTGGACTGCTCGAAACTCACCGGTAAGTTTCCTTGCAATAATGAAGCATTACAAGAGATGTATAGAATGAGAAATTATAGACCACCATCAACTTCATAAATTAGAAAAGAAAAAATTTTAATAATGTTAATGAAAAGTAACTAAAATAAAATTTTTCTTTGTTGATCTATGTAGGAATTGACTTGAAAATTTATTTTTATGTTACTTGTTTAGAAAGAATATCAAGGCAGTATCAAATATTTTGAAAACTCGAGCTAATAACTCATCATTATGTCCATAGATGGCGCCAGCGGAATGTAGATTGTGATTAATTAATACTATCGCAAACTCGGATGATTTTTTAAATTTACCGAAGCCATCTTTTGCTTACATCTTTGTACAGACACATTTTAGTGTTTTATTTTATTTTAGTTACAAATCTTGGCTCTAGGTTTCAGTGTTTGAGATTCGGATAAACATTTCACGACGATGTACGGATCTATGAAAAAGATTTAATACAATACTCGAATAGCCAACATAATGTTTCCAACTGATAAAACACTCTTAAGGGGAACTTTATTACATGAAAGCAACTGATTCAGACTCGAATCCTTTTTTCAACTTAGGGATGAGCAATATTATAAGAAATTTTCGTATCAGTGGATAACCAGAGGTTGCATTTCCAGAAGAATTGGGCATCCTCCTGGAATAATCCACGTCATACACTACACTCAGGGCAGGCAGCTGAAGTGAAATGTGACATATCATTGGTATTCCAATATCTGGTTAACAATAAGCCTAGCCATTCATAGACACCCTGTAAAATTATCGTCCTTTCAAATATTCTTGGTCTAAAATTACTGCTTCTTTATATTCATTACAAATCAACTGCTCTCTCGTATATGTTAATAAAAATGCGTTTAATTATTTTTTAAAAAATAGTGTTTTTATGTATTTCTGTGTTAACTGTGCTACGCTACCGAATGTGTGAAATCACTGAAGTTTTAAATGTTTACTAACATTAGAATCATTCTTGTATAATGATTACTATACTAATATTCACCCTCATTTTTTTTCATTTCAGTATCTACCATATTCTATTCGCTTTCCTTTAGTTTCATTAACAGTTCTAACTTTCATATCGTTGCGTTATTTCTTTTCTTCTGACACCACTTGTTACGGGGTTCGTGTGGATTTGGAGTGAATAACGACGACACTTGATGAAGTATCGAAACACACTTTATTAGCCAGTATTGTCAGGACAGGTCCAAAACACGTTTTACAGTCGTCAATGAACTACTATAAACACGCTGACACGATCAGCGACACAGCCTTCAGGTTATCAGGCTATCACGGTGGAGACAGCTTCCTGCAAAGCACCCGACTCTGCTTTCCGGAGTACAGCTCCCGACTGTGCTTGGTCGTTCTCGGAATTCCACGTACTCTCCAGACTCTCCACGCTACAACTCGCACTCGACGACACACGAGCACAGCTCTCGACTCTTCGGTTCAGTCGTTCCCGGAGCTCAACACTCTCTCGACGATGCACTAACTGCGATACACTAACAGACTCCTTCTGTGCACTCGACGACCCACTCGGCACTCGCTGCCCGGCTGTCACCTCGATCGACTCCGCAGGGATTGACTCGCTAGACGAGACACCCACTCGATACTGACTCTCTCGCAAGCACACACACTCGCCCTCTCGATGAAGCCCACACACACTCGATGAGAGACGCACACTAACTGACTGCGGACTAGCAGGGTTTATATAGCTTTCGGCTTGTGTTCGGGAACATTCTGGGTTAAACCGGTAAGAATCGTTCCAGAAGATTCTCCAACCGTCTATGGTATAGCGCCAATTTTGTCGCCAAGTATCGCCAAATGGGAGACTGCTCGCCAAATGTGGCAACCCTGCCTCCCTTGCCATGTTATAGCAACCCTAAAACTGCTTTGCGGGGAAGCCATCTTACCGCGCCTGTACATTTCGTAACAATATCTTTCACAAAGATATCCCTTCTTATGCTCCCCCGGGGTCGACGTAGAGAACTCTGCGAAGCTACTGGCTAGGATCTGTACCTAGGCAGTCTTGGCCACGGGGGTATAAAATCACGAGCCTGGCAGTTCCAGAGCCCAGGTTTGGGTCATTTATATGGCTGGACCTCGGGGGAAAGGCGTAAGACGTATACCAGATGGTTCTGTAGCTTGGTGTGGGGGCACCGAGTTTGCTAGGTAATGTCTTGGTGGGACGCGCTGCCCGTGTAGTACTGGCGGGAGCATTTAAACGACCGGTCAAGTCCATCAGGTGTTCAGGTCACGCCTCCGTCGAAAAGCCGAGAACAGGGAGTGGTGAACCCTCGGGCCCGGCCCAGTAAGCGGAGGATTTTTGGAGTTATTCTGTCTGAGGCTAAGAGCCGGTGTGGGACCCGGTTCTCCAAACAATAAGGAATTAGTTTTAAAACTCCTAAGTAGAATTTACAATTTTGGGCTGAGGCTAAGTTTTGGATTTGTGCCCCACGACTCCAGTCCACAAAGTTGAACTCGTTTTATGTGGCCTACCTGCCACGACCTCCCCCTGCCTGATATGGGGGTTCACAGTAGGTCGATTCCCTCAGTTGCGTAACTGCTCGCAGGAGAGGTGTACAAATTTGGATTGATTGATGACTTCTTATGCATATTATCTTAATATACTTTGCTAAATACAATCAGATGAATAGCTTATTTAAATTGACTTTCTTAAACATTTGTCACCCTGTTGAACTTAGCACACCAAGCAACCACTCGTACCATTCTATTTCTTAATCCAGTATTTCTCTGGAACGCCACAAGGACTCTGAAAGCATTCTGAGAATGAAAAGAATATTTATTTTTAATTTATGCCTGCTAAATGTAATACCAATTATTGCTTCGAATTTTAAAGCTACAGTTCTTAAAAAGGTTTCGATTTTAGATAAAAATATTATCAAATTTTCAATAACTGCTTTATAACCTTTCTCAGATCTCCCAATTGTTGTATAAATTACTGACGTTACGAACTCGTACGCTGTTCACATAATATTTAAATGAGTCTCGCCATAAAATAACAATGTTCATTTCTCTAACATTGAAAGTGTGAATATTTATATTTGGTGGTATTGTTACGGTGAAACACCGAAATCTGGAGAATGTCGACTTTCACCGGTGAATGTCAACATTCACATAGTCGCTTGGTGTATGTCCGAAATACTTTCCAAATACTCTTATTTCTGACTTACACCGGTCAATGTCGACATTCACCATGTACTAATGGTGAATGTTGAACATATAAGAATATTATATTTCCTTCTCCGTAATTCATTCGCGAAAAAACGCACTTGAGACTCAGAATAAGAACTTAAAACACACAGTACATTTAAAATGAGAAAGGAAAATAATAGAAGTTATAAACTTACCAAATTATGTGATTCAAATCTTATTTATTGCAACAACTTACACTATTATGACACTTTGAATTGCACAAGAGGCCCTTGCTTTTACAATTACATTTATTTGTGGAACACTTCCCTTTGGAATGGCAGCGTGTACATAGACTCCTCTCTTTTCGATCTACACCAGAGCATATCTGTGATTGTCGACATACACCGGTGAAGGTCCGAATGTACAAGAATGTAAAGAAATATTCGATCTTTCACCGACGTATTTGGTGAATGTTGACATTCTCCGGTGAAAGTCGACGTTCTCCAATTTCGATCTTTCACGATAGCGGTATAATTATTTGAACAAGCTTTGTTGTTTTATTCAAGGATCATTCCGTTTTCCTCTTCCGCAACTCTCCCTAGCTGTTTGAAAATCATGAAAAGGTAAAATCGGTTAAATTTCAGCTATAGTGCTTATGTCCCCTGGTTGCAACAATGAAAGTTTAGAAGACGTAGCTTGGTAGCTATTATGGCTGTGGATGGTATCTCTCAGATTCCATCTTGGTATCAGACAGCTACCATAATGACACTCAATAGAGGTCTGAATAGACTGGAGAAAGTCTTGATCTTGCTGTCAAGAGGGCAACCGCGGTGGCAAAAGCTAAAAAGCTGAATAAAAATAAATTACCGTGGGGACAGAGCATAATCCAAACAGATTATGAAATATATAAAGTTCGTTCACTCTGTCACTCAGCACAGGAAGATTATTAATATTATTCACGATTATCAGAATATTGAAAAATAAAGTGATTATTCTTCTGTTAGTCTTTCATGTTAGGACAGAATTAAATGATCAAGACTTTCTCCAGTCTATTCAGACCTCTGAATTCGTCTTCTCTATGACAGTAGTAATAATTTTATTAAGCTTTTTCATCGCCCATGAATTTTTATCTCTGAGACTTTATCTGTGAGATCTCTGTACTTTATCTCTGATGAAGACAGAGTATTTTATTTCTGAGATCGAAGTTTTAAATGTCTCTCAGGAGACGAGAAATACGTACTTTTTGTTTTCTTTCAAAATGCAAGTGCTACTTGAAGACTTCTGTATCTGAAGCTTTTTATCTGTAACACATTAAGTTATTAATTCAATAAATAATTTATTAATGAATCTGCATCCCTAACACGTTTTACTTTTTATGTCTAGTATGCAAAAGTCCGATGGTCTGGTGAATCAGAGGACACATGCACAACGTTAGAATTTAGTCACAATCCAAAGACATACAGAGTGAGTATGGTGTTTTTCATCTAAATGTTGGTATCATAACATTCCTTATACTTATCAGATGATAATATAAATATCGCTGTAACCAGTTTTTTTCCTTGTTAAACAAGTTTATCTTGTGGACAAAAGCCTTGTAAAAAAATGTCGGAAATGAAAATAATCAATATGTTATGCCAATTTCTCAGTAAACTTGCAATGTCTCGTAAGCAGATTTTGCTATATATTATTTCTTCTGAATAAAATATTAAAATATCATTTAAATATTTTTCAAAATTTGAAGGGAAAAGTGTTAACCTTTTAACTGTTATGCCCGAAATAATCTCGGGTACAGCACTGGTGTTCGAAAATGTCATGCCCGAGTATTACTCGGGGTAATTTTTTTTTTTTTTTTTTTTTTTTTTTTGAGTGCATCGTATTGTTATACCCGAATATATATCGGGAGACGTTTATTTCGGCTTCATCTCTTTGTCAAACCCGACTGTATCTCGGGAAAAGTTAATGTGCGCTCAGTTCAATAGATGACAGCACTTTACTGAAGATTTCAAAGGTTAGAGGGATCTTTTTGTTGTAAAATAGCGTCCAGTTCTTTGAAACGTTATATAGATGATTTAGATTCTTCAACCGAAGATGAAGGATGTGTGTTTGATGAGCAGTATTCATGATACTTCCATGGTCAGCCTCAAAAATAAAAAATGGAGATATACTCAAGCCGAAGATTGTTTCTAATTACGGTCTAACTATGGGTGGTGTAGATCGCTGTGATCAGGAAATATCCTTTCATCCAACAATCCGAAAACGTCAGAAAAAATATTATAAAAAGATATTTTTACATTTACTAGACAAGGTACTCTGGAACTCATATTTGCTCTATAAAAATGTAGTTGGGAAACGTATTACATTTTTTTAGAATTTCGAATCCAAGTTGTAGAAGAGCTTTTACATAAATATGATGATGCAGCTTCTGAACAAAAGAATGTTGGCAGACCACCTACAATAGATAACCCTGCCCGTCTTACTGAACGACATTTTATATCCCATTTTCCTCCTATTCCTGCGAAACGTGAGCCTACAAGACAGTGCAAAGCGTGTTGTTCGAAAAAGGATAAAAATGGGGAAAAGATAAGGAAGGAATCACGATTCTGGTGTAGTGATTGTGGAGTTGGTTTGTGCTTGGAAAAGTGTTTCCATTTGTACCACACAAGACTGAATTACTGAACTACTAATAGGTATTCACTTATATTTATTTATGTTTTAGAAAATAGTTAATTTTTTTTTCATTTTTAGAAAATAATGCTCCACTAGAAGCGAACTTTGCAACTGCCATGTTGAGTGGCAGCCGCCTCAAAGCAAATATGCAGTGGCTACAAAACTTTAAAAATTTTACCCATGTACGCAAAATATCAATTTTTAACTACTTAAGTATATTTTATTTTGTACTAAACATTTGGTTTTTGCAATAAAAAAATTTGACAATTTGTGTACCCAAATCATCAAAATAACTTGACAGTTAAAGGGTTAACTATGCAGTGTACAAAATATTTAGTAAATTGTGAGAATGATGCAAATTTTCTAAATCATAGATTTAAATGTATTCAAAATATAACATCACCATCAAAATCGTGTTGAAAAGCTCTCAAACTTCCAATATAAGCCTATGGTGTCTTATAGCCTCATCTGGTCTACCTGAATTATTTGAATCTATTCGTGTACTTCTTATATCATGTAGCGCCTTTTATCGTTCTTCTTCATTTTCACAGTTCACTTTTTAATTATGTGATAACAATTTGTAAGTTCGAAAAAGGGTGCTACTTTGGTAGACGGTTGCACGGATTTTTGGCGATTTACTTTGGCGCAATTGTTGCTGCGGTTTTTGCAATCGTCAGCCATCTTGAAAAACGCTGTTTTTACGTATTTTGCGCATAGTAAAGTATTCCAAACTGTAAAAAAAAAAAAAAAATAAATATCGTTTAAAATAATGGATTAATTTTTTGTTGAAAACGTTGTTTTTTAACCCTCTGAGCGGCAAGGGTTTTCGGTAAAAAACCACAAGTTTTCCAAAACTACAATGAGAACAAATTATTTTTTTCATTTTAATGTAAACACTCTCCTGGAATTACATACCTGGATTTGTGTACTTTTTATATAATGCCTTAATTTCTTTGACATATTTTAATATGCACGTATATATACGTTCTTATAGATATCACAAAAAATATTCTAGGCCGTATATATACGAACTTGCCGCTTAGAGTGTTTTAAGATGGCAGGCAAATAAATACATTTACTACGAGTATAATATACTAAAGTAAGGTTAAATTATTACTTTCATTTAGCAAAGAAATAGAATAAAAACACCGCTATAAAAACATTGCGCCAACGTTTAATTGGATTAAAATATTACGTAAATTGAATATCGAATTAAAAACCATCATACGAACGTTTAAAAGAATTAAAATATTACTTAAATTCAAATACTTTAAAATAAGTAAATAAAAACGCTTCGTACACTAGAGCTAAAATGACAGCAATTAGTTTATTGCCGGTAAAAAAGGAGGAATGTCTAACACTTTTTTTACCGTTACAGCGGTTATTTCTTCCACCGTGACCACAATACCATATACGGCCGTCCTCAGAATCGGCTCTTCTAACGATCTTCACATCTGTGATCCACATTTCTCGCACTTCATTGAAGAAGCAATTAGCGAGGTTTCCTCCAAAAATTTAAAATAAATTTCCTCTGATCCTTGTAGCAATTTATAAATAAATCTTTGATTAGGAAAGCCAGGTTGGCCAAAATAAGGTCTCAAAGGACAATTTTTTTATTCCGATACCAATAATTCTTGGTACTTACCAATAACAACATTAATCTTTGAAAGGGACATATCCGTTTCCTATGAAATCTAAGGAATTCGAAGAGATGAATAATAAAATTTTAAAATGGCGCTGTAATGCACAAATATTCAGTAACCGATCAGGGAGCTGATTACAGCTCGTTAATGCACAAATATTCTGTAACCAATCAGGGAGCTGATTACAGTTCGTTAATGCACAAATATTCTGTAACCAATCAGGGAGCTGATTACATCATGCATAGAGTTAAAATTATTTAAATAATCATACATAATAAAATCATTTTTGAAAAAAAAGCAAAATTAAATTGTATTTTAATATTTAACAACCATAAATAATGTTTAATCATTAGATTAAATTTACAGATATTAAAACCAATTACTTTTAAAGTAAGGTGAGGTCATTGGTTACATCGTCCACAACATAAAATTATATAAAATATCATAAACAATAAAATTTTTATTTCAATTAAAAATGCAAAATTAAATTGATTTTTAATATTTAGAAGCCATAAATAATATTTAAAACACAGAATTTGTTCATAATAAAACGCATTATTTTTTAAATAAAATTACAAGTATTGGTTACCATAAATAACTTGTCCAGCAATGGGTTTACCATAAGTCGTATCGCTCGCCAAAAAATAAATCGCCAAAATCCGTGCAACCGTCTACCAAAATAGCACCCGAAAAGTATATTCTGTCTTCTATTTTAAGCAAAATCCATCCTTGGAATTTTAGAGAAATGTTGTTTGCATTTCAAGAGAATCTGTAACAGATCTATTTTATGTAAAAGATCTATTATAATTTATATTTATTTAAGACGAAAATAAAGCTCAAATTTATTATGCAGGTATTTCTCTTACATGTATGATATTCTGTCTTTCGTAATTTTTAGTTAGCTGAGATTACTTGGTGGTTCTATTTGACAAAATACATTGAGCTAACTGACACAGTGAGTATTACGTTACTATTCTCCATTAATATAACATTAAAAACTCTGTTATAAATTGAATTTTAAGAATAATTTGTAGTTTCTTAATTTGCAGCTAGGTATATACGAGCACGCATAATTTTATATTTTAAATGTATCCAAGATTTTTTTTTATTAAAATTTATCTTAAAGTATGTGGATTGAAATTGCCTTGTGTATCACTGTAAAATTTTCTATATAACCTGCTTAGAAATTACACAGTAACTGTAATATGCATAGGTAAGATTGTAAAAATTGTAGTATATTTACCTCTAACACTGTGGTAATTGTACTGCTCTTACATATTTTCTAATTTGTAATTATGTGATGTATAATATCAGTTTCAACTTCTTATTCCTGCAGTGCTGCAATAAAAAGTATAATGCGTTTTGTAACTGTTAAGGTTTTAAGCTTTTCACTACTGGAAACTGTGACCTACCTTTTGGTAGACGTTAAGCGACTTACAGCTATATCTTAAGTACAACAGAAACTTGAGAATGGTATTAAAATACCCTTTATATTTAAAACTTAATAAGATGAAAAGAAGGCAAACTTGGTGCTTACAAGTCTGCCAGCATTTATGGCGAGCAACTAAAAATAGAAATTCAAATGTAAAGCTAAATTAAAATAACTAGTAACGTAACGCTACGCAGAGCAATTTAACGTAATAAGTTGGCTCGGAATTCACAGGAAGGAATTTAACTATTAACTAGCATAATACAAGGCTGAAGAGAAACTTCACAAACTCATTAAAAGACAGGAACTGAATTATCATTACGTTATTTTATTGAAAAAATTTTCATTAATAAAGCAAAGTTTAAAAACTTTTAACTCTTTGATCAATAACAAAACGCAATAGTCCGTAGCAATTCCAAATGCATTTTAATTTTAGGAAGACAATAGTAAAAGAAGATCTGGAAGGAGAGATAATAAAGTAAGCAAAAACCACATTCTAGATTTCAAACAAATTCAATTCTTCTGGAGTTAATGAAGGAATTTTCTTCCTTCTTCCAGCATGCCTTCGTAGTGTTACGGTAGCACACTCTGAGCGTATTCGAGAGGTCCAGGTTCGAGTCCCGGATAGGGCACCGTTCAATTTTCACCTCTCATTCTTCAAAATAACCTAATGACTTCAAAATAACTAACATAATATAATGACTCTACAGTGGTGCACAAACGAAAAGGTGATGGACGATAATTCGTCACCACCAAGATTTAGTGATTAGGTCTCTTAATCCCCAGTCGCCCTTTAAAAGGGGGATTACATAAGGTATTTTCTTCCTCCTTTCACCATGCCTTCGGGGTGTAACAGTAGGGCACTCAGTGCATATTCGAGAGCTCCAGGCTCAAGCCCCGGCGAGGGCATTCTGATTTTTTACCTTTGTTCCTTCAAAATAACCTAACGACTCTACAGTGTAACTAGTATTTTCTTTAGTATAAAGCAGTTGTTAAATTAAGATTTCAATTACTAAATTCTTATTTTTCACCTCTCTTCCTTCAAAATAACCTAACGACTCTGCAGTGTAGCTATTATTTTCTTTAGTATAAAGCAGTTGATCAAGATTTGAATTACTAGATTCTTATTTTTCACCTCTCTTCCTTCAAAATAACCTAACGACTCTACAGTGTAGCTATTATTTTCTTTAGTATAAAGCAGTTGATCAAGATTTGAATTGCTAGATTCTTATTTTTCACCTCTGTTCCTTCAAAATAACCTAACGACTCTACAGTGTAACTATTATTTTCTTTAGTATATAGCAGTTTATAAATTAAGATTTGAATTACTAGATTCTTATTTTTCACCTCTCTTCCTTCAAAATAACCCGAAGACTTTACAGTGTTACTATTATTTTCTTTAAAGCAATTGATAAATTAAGATATGAATTACTGGTTTTTTATAGATTCTTTCATATTTTGGGGATAATTATGATATTATATAATATCAATTAATGCCATTATTTGTAGAAATATAATTGCTATTACAACTAATGCGAAGTATATTATAGGTTTTCTTTGTTCTGAGGAAAAAAGAACGACAGCTGTCAAAGTTACATATAATCCATCACAGTACTATACCAATTGTTGTTTGGAGTATGTTGCGGTCGGAACCAGGTGAGTAACTATAATTAATAAATGAATTATTGTTAATATGTTTTGAGCACCAGAGTTAACCAGTTTTAAGAACTATTCCATATTGTAACTTAAAATTATAAATTTTTTATACTGAATTTCTAGGCAAAGCAATCCCAGAGTCAAAACATGTTTGAAAAATCTGTATTTCAGTGAATTTGGGACGCAGTATGGTAATGGAATTATCACAGTAATGCACATAGTTACAGAATTTATTTTTAGAGAATGTTATCACATAAATTTATACTCAGTGTCCAAATCTTCTTAGAACGTCTTGTTAGTCCAAAGGGGCTTTGTCCCTGAAGGACTATTGTTTTCGTTTTGCGATTTTGCGTTGGTTCACTATAAATCTCCGTTGCACTTTTCAAACTGTTGCCACCCAATGTTAGAGTACAGCATTATATTTGAAGAAATTAAATAATGAAAAATTTGTTTAAATGTATGTACATTTCTCGCATTGTGATAAAACAACGGTACACAGAGCCATCGAATTTTGAATGGCGTAAACCTGCTGCATGGGCATGTGGAAGCCCAAATTTGAAATTTGGAATTTGTTTTATTATCGATTTCATATTTTGTAAACCTCTAACGAATTTTTGATTAACAAACTCAAGGATTTCAAAGCGAGCAATGGCAACGTTGTACAGAAAAAAACATTTTTATCTTCAGCGCGCAAGATTGCGTATCGAAAATTCTAAAGATATGCTCAATTTAAAACTATTTTGCGATATTGCTCTTGAACTGAATTTTATGGATTAAGTGTGAAGAACGCTCCAATATGGTTCAATATTTAATAAATAAAGGTAACAGACAAAATGCTAAAAAAAAACTACCCTTTGGACGTAATTTAAAATCTGAAATCTTTCAGATTTTTCCCTCCCCGCCCCTTTTTATTAGTACTATAATAATAATTATTATTATTATTAGAAAGCCATCTGAAAATGAGAGTATAAGCATAGGATAAGAACACAAAGTGTGACAAGGAACATTTCCATGGAAGTGCTTTTTATTTCCCATGTCAGGAACATTATCTGACTGTAACTTCGAAGACAGATTTAATAAAAATTTAAGTGAAAATACCATGGCTTGAAGTCACGGCATCTAGTAATTAAAAAGTAATCTTTTAGTATTTTTAAAAGACGTAAAAAGTAATTTTAAAAGACGTGTCAATGATCTTTGCAGAAGTTCTGTTTCATACAGTCTGTTATCTTACCTCATTATCAGGCAATGTTAGGTGATAACGGCTACTACTGTATTATAGACAATTTGGGATTTTGTATTCCGCCACATATGAAGCGCCATCTATTGACAATAATTGCAATTAAAGCATTCTCTGCTAATTTCATTCCCGCACATTTCAAATACTATCATTACGCAAAATTTTAAATGTTCGACTACAAGATTTTATGTTGTTTAACCAGGTTACCTAATTACTTTTGATTTACTTTCTCTTCAAATTTAGTCAACTTCCATGAGGATGCAAATTAAAATATAAAATACGCGGAGAGTCTTTGAGTTGAAAAAGAAAGAGAGTTCCTGACAGCAGAGTTTGACTATGCTCTGATTCAATGCCTGTTGAATTTAAGTTATCGACTTAAGCTTTATCTAGCCGCTTTTGCTTCGCTATCATTTAGGCCTAGCCAAACTTTAAATAGAGTGTGTTAAATTTGTATTTCGAATTCAAGTTGGATTTGAACGGATTAGAACAGATGGATTTGAACGGAATTTTGGATTCAAGTTCTATATTACTCATAAGCGGCAAAATTTTATTTCTGTTATACTTTTCAGTTTGTAGATTATCAGGTTGACATGTTATTGACTAGATTTTACTTTATACCTTGATTTAAACTGTGATGCATTTGATTAAAAGGTAGATGGCATGTTAAATCGTCTGACAGTTCTTATTGTTATCTTGAAGTGACTTTGGTAATTTAAATTATCGGAGAACCGTATACAGTGGTTTTTGGATTATCCTATATAAATTGTGTGCATTGCATTAAACAACATCGATCGTTAAACTGTAAGTAAGCTTGCATTTGGACATTCATTTCAGACATGGCTATGAAATGCTTATGATTCAAATACTTTATTCTGGCATTTTTTTAATCATCATTCAAATAATAACTCCGTAAGTTCAATCTTTGTAAACATATTAATCCATTTTTTTAATCATCATTCAAATAATAACTACGTAAGTTCAATCTTTGGAAACATATTAGTCCTTTTGAAAACCCCCATACTCCAATAATATTTTTGTTTGTTTGTTTGTATTGTTTTGAATATACAATACTTATCACGTATTCACACTTGTCAGACAATAAACAGGGTTTTTGGCATATTTTTTTCAGGAAATTTATTTTGACTATAAATTAATGTGTCGGTGTCCGCCGAAAATATTGCAGACGAAGACGTCTTGGGAGAAAGTAAAACCATCGCAGATCTAAACATCATCGTAGAAACATAAAACACTTCAAAAACTTCGCAGTTTTAAAACAACATCGTAGGAAACATCATGGTAAAAAATAAAGCGCCCACAGGCAATGATCTTAACATTGCAGACATGTGTTTTCAGACTTTAAAGGTTTAAAATGCATGTTCGCATAATGGTTCTTGGTTTTTCAGTAAAATTTTATTAGTTAACTCACAAATATGAAATATAAAGGTAAAAGTGTTCCTCATTTTTTCTTGCGCTCAAAAATTATTATGCGAACGTGTATTTAAAACTTTCAAAATCTGAAAAAAACATGTCTGCGATGTTATCATTATTTGTATTGTGTACTTTATTTTTATTTTATATATTTGACACGACGACGTTCTAAATTTGCAGAATTTTTAAACCACTGCATTTTCTACGACAATATTTTATGTTACAGTGTTACCCCTTAGGTTGTTTCTTTCACAACGCTTTTCCCGCGATGGTTTATAAGGTATTTCTCCCGCCTTCCTAGCATGCCTTCGTGGTGTGGTGGTCTGCACGCTGGGCGCGTATTCCAGAGGCCCGTGGTTTGTGTCCCGGCGAAGGCATTCTCATTTTTCAATCTCTCTTGCTTTAAAAAAATAACCCTAATGTCTCTACAGTGGCGCTCGAACTAAAAGGGTGATGGATGATGAGTCTCCACATCTAGGATTTGGCGACTGGGTCCCCTAAAAACCCCAGTCGCCCTTTAAAGGGGCTGTATATAAGGTATTTCTTCCGCATTCCTAGCATGCCTTCCTGGTGTGGTGGTCTGCACGCTGGGCGCGTATTCCAAAGGTCCGCGGTTCGATTTACGGCGAAGGCGTTGCTGATTTTTCAATCTCTCTTGCTTATAAAAAATCCTAATGTCTCTACAGGTTTCACTCGTAACCGATATTTCTACACTGCTCGTTAAAATTAACGGATAATTAGAGAAACAAAGCTTATTGTAAAGCAATCAAAAAGATTTTTGCAGATGCATTGCCATAGCATAACTGACAATTAACTGAATCGAACTGATTAATCTCTAAATATGGAATTTAAATTTATGAAAATGTAAAATGATGTAAAGAAAAATTCGTATGTAGGTTTTAGATACACTATTTGATAACTCTTATTCTTCACTGTCTTTATACACCGTAATTTCCAAGACAATAAAGCTTTTTATAGTATCGAAAGAGGTATTTTGTCCCATTCCGCTTGAGCAATTTTACAATGTCCGAGGAGGGTTGTAAGTTGACATTTGGACAATCCGCTTTTGAAGAGTCCAAAAGTGCAGAAATCCGGGGTGGGGTGGGGATATGAGTGAACATTATGGCCTTGATACCCGCTTCTTGTTCCATTTTTTCCACGAAATTAACAGTGGATTTTGACGTGTGGCTGCTGGCTTTGTCTTGATGCAGTTCTACTGTTTCATGGCACTGTAGGTAAAGAGAAGGTATTTTATGTTTGAAAAATTGTGTATTAAATATGTTCCTGATAATATGTGGGGTTGATCTTAACATTTTTCTGCATTCTGTTTATTTTTAATTTCCCCATGTATGAAAAGCCAGCAACAATCATAAATCCCTTTGAAAAACCTTCTTTAGATTCTTTGAACCATGTTTTAAGGTTGACTCGTACACCTTAAAACCCATAATATCTTCGAATATGTGACTGTTGCAAGAATAGTAGTAACTCATTTATTTTAAAAGCAATTACTTCCAACTTTTTATAGCTGACTACAAAATATAGCTGCTTTCTGAAATAGCAATCAGAAAGTTTGTGTTGCCACAAATATTTTGATAATTCATTCCGCTTTGTGACAAAATAGTTCGTCATTTTCCACTATGCACGCACAGTTTAAATCATTCTGTTCATAATTTAATTCCATATTTCATATATAGCTTTTATACCATTTGGAAAATACTGTAAACCAAAAATTCTAAGAATTTCATGTTCACTTTTTATTTATTTGGAGTCGCGTTTATAAAATGTATTTTATTTAAAAAATTGTGTAATGTTTTCGTGCATAAAATTTTTTAATATTAAAATATTCATCAGATTTTTGGTTCAGTTAGAAAATAGTGCCCATATAAAGAATTCCATCAAATTTCAAGTATTTTAGCCATTTTTAAAATATAATGCGCGCAAGGTGGAAACACGACTAAAAATTTTGTTCCAAAGCGGATTAAATTACAAAAATATTTGTGACAACACAAACTTTCTGATTACTATTTTAGAAATCAGCTATATTGTATAGTCAGCTGTAAAAAGTTGGAAGTAATTGCTTTTAAATTAAATAAAATATCCAAATTTTTGCAACATTCACATACTCGAAGATCAATAAGTGTATAAGCCCCCTTTAGATCTTAAGATGGATCTTCTTCTCTAAGGATAATAAATAGATATCTTTTGAGTTCAATCATTTAAATACACCCAAGATTCATCTATTGTGACAACAGTTTTTCCATTTTTATCCGGATAAATGTTTCTCATAAAGAATTCTGCAGCGCGTTCTGCGTTCGGCGATGTGTTATAAAGGAAGACGATGCATTTTATATTTTTCCCCCGATATTTTTCCTTTGCAACATTCGAAACATTCCATTTTTTCCTTGGAGATGTATTTGGAACAAATTTTCCACTTGAAGCCAAACTTTGGCGTTTGTTACCTATTTTGTTGGCCTTGTATATTACCTATCTTAACTTTAGATACCGAAGAACCATAGCTTTCATAATATTTCTTAATAACTACATAGGAATAATTTTCTTAAGAAAGAGCACGAGCCATTTTCCATTGCTTCTTCAAAAGCGCCATTTTGCATTAAAACAAAACTGTCAAGTAGCAGACGGTAATTTAATATTTTCAAAAATACAGTTTCAGTTAAGAAACTTTTTCCAAGCAGACGATTTTTACTTCCTTGTATGAAGTAAAGGAAGTATTGTAATCGCACTCGAAACCATTTGAACGATGTTTTTGCGTAACATCTGTACCTACGGACAGATAAAGAACTGTTTTTTACCCAAATGGATTATAAATTGGATTTAAAGTGGATTCAGAAGAGCTTTTTTCTTGACGTACGTTTGTATGTATTTCGCATAACTCAAGAACATGTAGCCGTAGAACGTTGAAATTCTGTATATGCGGCTGCTATAACATGCAGTTGTACACCTTCCTTTTTCGTTGCAATCGGCTGCACCAATCGTATGTAAATATATATATATTCCCACTTTATTACCTCGCTCAGTGAACTTAATTTTTGTAGTCCTATATGTTGATAAATTGTGCATTTTTTACTTTAAAAGTGATTTAATTGCTTTTTTATGTCCCGGTAAAGGTTTTTATGCCTTTAGTTAATCTGCATGGAATAGTTGTAGAATTATTAAGAATTTAGAAGTGGCGAGTTATACCTAACGAATCGCCATTTGTTTAGGTTTGAAACACAGTAGAATAGGGAGCTAAGTCAATTTGTGCACCTTCAAATGTGTTTTTGCCGAATGGGATCAAAATTAGGCATTTCGGTTTTGCGCAGCGAAAAATCTGTCTTCTTGCCTGCTGGCTGGATTTATTTATTTTTTATTTTGTTTTATTTATTTATTTATTTATTTATTTTCGTAGAAACTCTAATTTTAATTCTAACAATTTTTTAAAACTGTTTTAATCGTATTTGGTGTTTTATTTTTTTCTGTATTTTGCAATTTTTAATGAAGATGTTTTCAGATTTTATGAATTTTTGCTTCGCCGCTAAGAAAGAACTGCATTAATTGAATGGGAACTATATCTCTAATGAAATTCGAGGAAATCACTTTAAATGAAATGCAGTAAAAAATGTGTGTAATTTATAGGCTATACAAGTCATGTGGTGTCAACATCAGATTTTTTTTTTTATATATATATATATAGCAAAGCAAAACTGTTAAAAAATGTGTTAAAAAAATGCTTCTTCAAAAACGCCATTTTGCATTAAAACAAAACTGTCAAGTAGCAGACGGTAATTTAATATTTTCAAAAATATAGTTTCAGTTAAGAAACTTTTTCCAAGCAGACGATTTTTACTTCCTTGTATGAAGTAAAGGAAGTACTGTAATCGCACTCGAAACCATTTGAACGATGTTTCTGCGTAACATCTGTACCTACGGACAGATAAAGAACTGTTTTTACCCTGTTTATAATGTATGTCTTTACATATTTATAAATACATGATAATGGACTTAATTCCAAATCAAAAATGTTGAAAATGTTTTGTGATGTTTTCAATTACTTTCAGGTGGTTATAACTCCTTCTTCCCTTTGGCAAATTCATTTGTTCATGTAATTATGTACACATACTATGGGGTTGCTGCTATCGGAGACCATGTAAAAGTTCATCTCTGGTTTAAGAAGTACATCACAATGACGCAAATGGTAAGGTTTTCCTTTGTCTTAAAGGTAAAGCATTTTTAACTTCCAATCGGCGTTTAAACTTTTAATTATTTTAATCTTCGATTTTCTAACTGACCAGTCAAGAAAACATTTTTTAAGTATTACTATTTCATATTTAAGATATTATTGTTTCTTTATTAATTCCTGATAGTGAGGCAGTTAATATGCAATATTCTGATTTTTAAAAATTAATTCTGTATTTCTGTTTATTTAGTTTGCATTCTTTTAAAGGCATTTCATTAGGCCTAATTCTTTGTAGCACTGAGATGGAGATTTTGTTGGTGTGTGATACCCTAAAGAAATTTGCTTTAATTATTGTCGTGAAATAAATTTGGTTAAAATCGAAAAAACATTTTCCACGTACAGGCATTCTGTTGCAAATATTACTAAGCTTAAATTTAAAATATGAGAATTCCTTTTAGTTAAAAATAAATCATTGCATCATTTAAATGATAGTTAAGTTTTATCATAATATTCCTCCCGGTGGTCGAAGCAGAGAACTCTATGAAGCTACTGTCTAAAGATCTGTACCTAGGCAGTATCGGTCACGGAGTTATATAATCTCGAGCCTGGCAGTTCCAGAACTCCAAATGAAGATCGTTTAATACAATTTGACTGAGGCGGGGGGATTGGCGAAGTCTACTACCCTGTGACGAGAGAGGTAAGAATTCTGTACTCCGCCAGGCAGTTGGCCCACCGGAGGTTGGAGGTTCCCTCTGGTGAGGAAAGAGGTAAGAACTCTATACTCCTCCTGACGTGTGTTGCCACAGCAAAAAAGGTCCGAGCGCGGGTAGTACTGGCGAGAGCATTTAAACGACCAGTCACATCTCCAGGCTTGCATATTCCCCACTGCTGTGAAACCTGGGAACCGGGAGTGGTGACCCCGTACGTCCAGGATGTAGCAGTGGTTATAGAGAAACTTTTAAAGCCTGCCACTTTGGATTGGGGCCCCGGGGGCGTAATGGCAGACCGCACATTGAGTTGAACAGTGTTAAACGAATGTTGCATACTGCGCATGCCCAGAAAACAATTTGGCGTAATTACTATGTTGGCGCGATTTGAAAAGAAGATAAATACGGTATATGGTAGACGTGCCATCTAATTGTAAACAAATCTGGCGTTTAAATCTTCGTAGAGTATAATGTAAATGTAAATTAATTACTGTGTTAAAATACTATTTTTTGCTGTACTGCTCAAACAACTAGAAAGCTGAAATTATTGCGAAGTAATATGAAGCAGTGTTTACATTCAAAATGTAAAATATAATACTTATGAAATTCTGCACATTCCTTTGGAACTGAACAAATTTTTTTTCAGAAAAAGACTGAAATTTAGGATATATTAGTTGAAAATTTATTCATTATACTTTTAAGCAATAAAAACAATTCAGGATTTGCCATACGTTCCATTCGCACATACATAAAGAAACACTGAGGAATATAATATATGCTTGCAAATAACACTGAAGGAATTTTACAATTCTTTAATGCTAGTTATTAAATTCTTTGAAATGAGAAAATAAAAGCGCGAATATACGCTAACAAACTAAGCGAGATACTCCAGTTTACAATTACTGAATTATAACATATAAACAAATTACATTTAAATAACGAACTATTACGAACATATGTTAACAAATATTAAATGCAATGTTATTGACAAATTAAAATGAAACAAATATTAGAAAAATAAGCAAGTGCAATCGGCATGGACGTTAAAATAACTAATAAGCAAAGTTCCACAACATTGCAATTTTAAACATCACTCGAACACACTCGACAGCCATGGAGATCACGAACAAGCTAACGTAGGGTTGCTTAGTCGCCAATATTTCTCCCCGCGCCAAAGGTACACCATCAAGCATGCGCAGTAAGCGAAATTCGCTTAACACTGTTCAACTCAATGTGCGGTTTGCCATTACGCGCCCCGGGGTGGTAGCATGATTAAAGTACATGTATCCTCTTCGGGAACTATGACTGGAGACCCACCCCAATGACAGATATGGGGGTCTTTCAGTTTGGTCCAGTCCATGTAGTGTCAAATAAGAATGAGTACTTTAGACAATTGTTATTATTATCATAATGTATACATTTACTTCTACAATTGGTACCTGTTGTTCCACGAAGATTGATCGAAATAATAAAGAATCTGCAAGTCCCAGAGTGGGTTTTTTATTCTTTCGCTTTCAATGCAATAACATTAGTAGATAATACTCTAAGGCCGAAAAGAGTTTAAACAAAGCGCTTAAGGGATAATAAATATATAAGATATAATGCAGAAAGTAAGTGCAGAGTACAATTGGATAGTGACAGAAAAAATGATAATAAGTCTTTCGCTTCTGGTAATGGTTAAAAGTAGCTCTACGAGGCAGAGCACAATTCTAATAAAAATTCAGATGCATTGCCAGACAGTCATGGCATGTAGCTATTTTGAAAGTAGCCACGGCTTTTGCTCCAGTGCTGTTCGTTAATATGTATCTAACTTATACGTTCTTTAAAGGGGTTCTTTCGATCAAGGGAACTTATAAATGGCATTAATTTTTCAATGGATAATGCTGAATCTTGCTTTAAAATAATTGTTCCGTTTTGGGCAAGAGCATCTGCGATTTCCTTAATCTCCTTACTGAGGATATCACACTGGATAGGAATCCATTGAAGAATTTATCCTTAATAATCAAAGGGCTCCCGCTTTAACGATCTGTAGTCTTGAACTCTCTGGCATTTATTATGCTTGTCTCGTTTAACCACACTTTACGGTTACAGGCAAAAGAATCGTGAACGGAAACAAGCAAAAAGAAGCATTGGTATGTCAATAGCACAATGGGAGAAAACAAAGCAAGGGGAAAACATCGTGGTATATAACATCGTCGTAGATAATAAAACTGTACAAAAAACATCCTGCGTTTTAAAAACATCGTACAAAGTAAATCATTGCATGATCATAACATGGCAGACATGTGGTTTTAGGCTTAAAAACTTTAAATACATATTCGCATAAAGATTCGTGAGCACAAGAGGGATAGAGGAATATTTTTAACTCTGTATCTCATATCTTCGATTTTTTTTCATGAAAATCTCCTAACGCTCCTTTATAAAAGTGATTAAATGAATAATGACTTTTAATAATCAACTGCACAAGCTTAAAATTATGTTAATTACTATACGTATCATCAATTTCTGCTCACTTTGAGATTTTAAATTCCTAACTTCCCTTGGTATTTTTCAGTAAAAAGTTTTTGGTTCATTCAAAAATATGAAAAAAAAAAAAGAGGTAAAAATATTCCTCATTCCTTTTTATGCTCACAAATCATAATGCAAATGCAAAGTCTGAGGATACATGTTTGCGATGTTATCATCGTGCAATGATTTGTAGGTGCTTTATTTTTTACCACGATATTTTCTCCTACGGTATTTTAAAACTGTGAAGTTTTAAACCGCTGGAACCGCTTTAATTTCTACGACGAGGTTAAAACATCGTACCAAAATACGATGTTTCAGGACCGCAATGTTTTCTAATTGCTTTTTTTTTTCTTCCACTGTGTTCTGTAAGAGGACGTTTTCGCCTTCTTCTGCGATGCTTTCGGTGAATACCCAGCCTCCAAGGACAATGAAGACATCCATAATATTACATACAGCACAAGAGAATGCGGGAGTATGCATTTTACTTGAGTCAAAGAAGCTAGAAAATTGCCTTTGCCACCAAAGCTGCTCTGCATGAGTTCTAATGTAATGGCAAAACAAAATACAATAGATACTTACATTTGATTTAGCTTGCTCTTTAGTTTCCGAGCCGTCAGAGTACACATGTATTCAGTCACCACCGGGTATCGTATATAAACAACATATACTGCCACAGTATGCAAGTGCATTGAGCTATATTTGGCTTCAATACAAGTTTACAAAGTCTAAATGAAATGAACTTTTCATCTCTTCTCAACAGAACACCAGAGACGAACCCCTCCGAGCCTTCCAGGAATTGCGTCCATACTCCGGAGAAGCGCCCCTGGTCCCACTTGGGCTTCCACGAAGCATGGAACCAAAAAACGTTATTAATGAGTTTAAAACGAAGCCTCTTTGCCCCGGTCTCCTCTTCGGGAGCATCGAAAATTCAAAAGAGTGGTCCATACCAGTACACGTCCCCCACGAGGGACCGAATAAGACTAAACTACCAAAGACATCCACATATCATACGATGTAACAACCCCACAGCCAAGGGGCAGACACGACAGTACCAGTACGGTCCCTGCCAAGCCTAAACCATCCTGAGAATAAACTCGGGTTCTAGTCCTGTGAAGAGTAATTATATACCCCCGTGGTTGAGACTGCCTAAGTACAATCTCTTCTCAACAGAACTTATGGGGGGAGGCAGCAATGGACTAGAAAAAAACATAGGTTGTACTTTGATTTTTCCTTGAGAAATGATTAATTTGGTCGTTAAAGATGAGTCATGCTATTAATAACGGATTTTATTTAAGCTGAAGTCTATTTGTTTCGCTACTGAGCATTTTAGATGCAAGAAGAAACCATTTTCCTGTTTACCAGATTCGAATATATAACTCATGAAGGTCTCAGTTTGTAAGTTGCTAACAGGTTCTGGGAATTTGTGGAGAGCTTTGTTATTAAATCACCTCATCTATTCATTGCGCATGTGCACTCTCAAGACACAGTTGTTAATATGTGCTGGCAATACATGATTGCCATTAAAGTCATCTCTATTTGATAAATTTGAAATTTAAAGTGTTTATATGTTAGTGCAACGTAGTTATATACGCAGAAGCTCTCAAATATTTTTTCCGACGAATGTTTATGTTATTAGTTGTTGCTTGATGATGGACACAATCATGATCGCTACTTTTGTTGAACCTCTTAATACACTTTTTTGCAAAAAAATCGAAGCACCAAGAAGAACATTTGCGATCGTGACGAAATTTGGTATGCAAAAACATGCAAACATCGACCATTGATCGAACATGCAAATGATCAAAGTTTCAAGGCAAATGAACAGGAATTGCGATTATAGCGCGCATTTTTAGTGCGCAATTTGCAAAGTATAAAGTAGTAGCAGAAGCGGAAAGTGTATCTTTTTTGTTGCTGCCATTTTAATTCCGTAAAGAAGCAACTAAAGATGTCATTACAAAGATATCGAAGATCTTATAGACAACTAAACGACTTCGAACGTAGCCGCGTTGTAGGATTGCGTGAAGCTGGGTGGTCCTACCGAGCAATAGGCCGCCACCTGCAGCGTACAGACACTGCTTGCAAAGATGTTGGCAGCAATGGTTGCTACAAGGTAATTGCCGACGAAATGAAGGCTCTGGAAGGCCAAGGAGCACAAATGCGAGACAAGATAGGATGATTGTTCGCCAGGCCCGAATCGCCCCAACGGTATCATTATTGACTATTCAACGCAATACAGTCAGGTCTATACCTCCCCTGGTACCGTCCACCATCTCACGGCGCTTGTCTGAGGCGGGGTTACGCTCACAGAGGCCTTTAAGACGTTTGCCTTTAACCCCACAACATTGGTGGAGTCGTCTGGAGTCGTGTCGCAGCCGATCATCATGGCTGCCATCAGACTGGCATCGTATAGTGTTCAGCGATGAATCCCGCTTTACTCTTGAAACAAATGACCACCTGTTCGTGCCTGGAGAGGACGGGGCCAGCGGTCCTAATTAGCCTTTATTTTACAAAAGCATACAGCTATAACCCCTGATGTGATGGTGTGGAGCGCTATTTCTTATGACAGCAGGTCATCCTCCGTACATGTTTAACAGCTCAACGATATATTGATACCATCCTGCGGCCAGTGGCATTACCCTTCATGGCACGTCATCGTGGGGCCATTTTCGAACAAGATAATGCCAGGCCACATACCGCTCGCATATCTCTGGACTGTCTCCGTGCGGTTGGTACTCTTCCTTGGCCAGCAAGGTTACCAGACCTTACACCAATCGAGCATGTCTGGAGCATGGTAGGCCGCTAGATTCGGACACCACAAAATATCGCAGATCTGGAGCTGCAACTGATGAATGCCTGGCAGAATGACATTAGGAACCTCTACCACTCCTTGCCTCGACGAATACAAGCATGCAGTGCCGCCAGGGGCGTTTCGACCAACTACTAATTTTAATACTCAGTGGGTGATTGTGAGCCGTGAACAGGTACTATGACCTTGATTTTTCAATCATTTTATTATCTGTATATGAGCTATACACATATTCAGTTTCATCAAATACAACCACTTCCTTCATGGTGTTTCGTTTATTTATTTATTTTATTTTATTTTTATTTTTTTATTTTTATTTATTTTTTTTATTTTTTTTTTTTGTGTGTGTGTGTGTGTGTATTATTTTTATTTTGTTTTTGTGTGTTATATTTTATTTTTCAAAGAGTGTATATAACGTATTTCTTAACACGTTGAAAATCTTTATAGCACCTTTGTCTCAATGCATTCCAAGTTGTTATTTAGCGTTAGTTAGTGTCTCTACCAGGTTTTCAATTAATCACTGAGTGGTCCTGGATGAAAGTCCTGGTCTTTAGAGACGTAATTTCGAATGCAGATTTTAATAAAAAACATACTACTGTCTTTTATATATCGAAAATTTTTTCAGTGATATTATTAAAATTTTTCATGTAATCAAACTGGATGGTTACGTAATTTTTATTTTATAAACTGTGAAATAAATGTTGAAGGATTTTTATGCCATAATCTTTCATAGCACCATTTATTTCTGTTATCTCTTCGTCTAACTCCTCCCCCTTAAAGCTAGACATACTTTTTGTGCAAATTACAAATATATTTCTTGTGTAATTAAATCATGATTATAAATGACTTTATTTTATTGCAATGTAATATTTGTGATTTTTTGAGTTGGCATTTAATAAATAAAACTAATTGCACCATTTGCGTTTTCTCTCATTTTAATAGATACAATTCGTTCTTGTACTATATTATATGTTCAGCCGTCCTTTCTACGGTTGCCAGATATCCTACAGGTCACTTGGTGTCAATAGTTTCATAGCTGCTTTCTTCTTCGTTTTGTTTTGCAACTTCTATATTCATGAATACTGGCTGAAGCAAGAGTGCAATTTGGACGAAAATGTCTGCGAAAAGCGAAAACGCAAGTGATTTTTATGTTTCAAATTAGAGAAAACAAGACTGTAAAATTTGAAATAGTTGTGACTGGATATACAGTTTTCGAAGACTTATTAAACAAATTATTTTGTGTATTGTCAACGCATTTAATAAAATCATAATAAATAATATTTGTTTCTGAAATGTGTCGAAATCTGATCATATATTTCATGTCTTGTAATCCATTATCATTGTCGGCGTTATAGAGTGTTTCTTGCTCGCTGATCATGTGAACAGTCTGAAATCACACACTGAATAGCTTCAATAGATGCATACACATACACCCTCATACACGTTTGAAAATTTATTTCTCGAAGTCCAGGGTACTTGACACAAGGTAGCCCAGCTGCACATTAATTAAGCAAAACCAGTCGGTCTACATATCCTATGGCTAGGGCTCAATATAATCTCTTAAGAAGTTGATGTTATAAGGTATTCCCCCCTTTCCGCATGCCTTCGGGGTGTAATTGGAAGCTCACTCGACGCGTATTTGAGAGATCCAGTGCTCGAATCCCGGCGAGGGTATTGCATATTTTTCACGTTTCCTGCTCCAAAAACAATGCTTACTGCTTAATGACTCTACAAGTGACGCTCGAACGGAAAGATGGTGGACAATAATTCTTCACCACCAGGATTTGATGACTGGGTCCCCTTAGGCCCATATCACACGGCGTTTGTTTCACATGAAAAATTGTTTCGGACAATTTTTCTGCCTGGTTTACTATTGTAAGAAAGACATGCGGCTTTTTCCTTCCTTTCGAAAAAAGTTGCAAGTTGTTCGTTTTCAACCAATCAGCTATCAGCGTCGAATGCTGTTAGCTTGTTTGTAATGGAGAACCAGTTTTCCCTGTGTTAACCCCAAAGCGATCTGTGGTGACTGGCTGTTGTGACAAAGCAGAAAAATTGTTCCAAGCAACTGTTTGGAACAGCCAATCAATTCTTCGCTTCGAAACAAACCGACGTGTGATACCAGCCTAATCCTCAATCGCCTTTTAAAAGGGCTATTGGGGATTAAAGTCCCTTCTCTCCGCATGCCTTCGTGGTCTAATTGGAAGCAGACTCCACGTCCAGGTCAAGAGGTCCAGAGTTCGAGTCTCGCCTAAGGTACTGCATATTTTTCACTCTTCACTAAGGTACTGCATATTTTTCACACTTCTTCGACTCTATAGTGTTATAATGAGAGGGATCTAGAGCTCTTGAATTGCTTGTTTCTCGAATAATCGTCGAAGTTATTTAATTTTCATAATAAACTCGAAATATATTTATTTGATTTAATTTTCATAATAAACTCGTAATAGATTTATTTGCTTACTTCTAAGAATAAACTCGAATATGCCTTCCACACCATCCATTATTTTCGATCATTGCACTTTCTGCCTCCTTTTTCTTCTCCTTTCAAGCTCCCGTCTTTTTGCCTCGTCAAATTTATTGTGTCTGTCGCTTCTTCGTAATAGGGCGCTAAATGATCCTTAATACAATCCCAAGAAGTATCCAAAGAGTCGCCTAGACTTTCACTATAATAGCCACCCAGACAATGTAGTGGTTAGGGGAGCCTACTGCGGTACCAAAGGGTCTGGCTTCGAGTCCCGGAAAAGGCATTGTTGTAAATGTTCGTCCCTTCATAGGACGCAACGGTGGCTGCGTATTAAGTGCTTCCTTAATAAAATGACCACCGCTTCTGACCTTAGGAGTGGCCAACGCTGAATCGGCAAGTCTCCCCATGGGATAAAATAAGTTCACTGTTACACAAGTAGTTTAACTGCTTTGTGAATCAATATCACATTTCTGGATATAAATACAGTTTCGAAGATCGTGGAGTTCTGATAATTATGTTATCATGAATAATTTGGATATCGACTTCACTCTCCTCAAATATCTGAAGAAGCAAATAAAAACTTAATGATCGATCGAAAAAATGAAGGAATCACAACGACAGTAAAATGATGAACATGAGCACATGGCGTAAGAAGGAGCAAACGTCACATGGAATGATCGAAAAGGGAGCTTTCACATGAATCCTCTAAACAGTGGCTCCAATTGAGGCTTGTAGGCTGTTGGAAGCGTCCATCTTCTGACGCGTTGTCACCAATATGTTGTTTGCAGGATATGCCACCAAAAAGGAGCGTTTTTTTAATACCGGTGCCACATTCTCTGGAGAAGGCTGTAAATCCTTCCTTTCTGTTTTACGATTGTCCACCTGTCTGGCAACTCGATGTCACCAAATAAAGCACTGTATAAGGTATTTTCTCTCTCTATTCCGCATGCCTTTGTGGGGTAACTGGAAGCAGGCCCGACGCGTATGCGAGAGGTTCGGAATTTGAATCCCGTCGAGGCCAGTGCGGATTTCTTCAGTTTTCTGATATCGAAAAATTCTAAAGGACTCTACAAATGGCACTCGAGCTAAAATGCGGTGGACGATAGTTCATCACTGGGGCCTCTAATCTCCAGTCTTCCTTTAAAAGGGGGAGTATATAAGCTATTTTCTCCCTCAGCTCTTCCATACCTTAGTGATGTAACTATAAGCATGCTTGATGCGTATTCGGGAGGTCCTGTTGTTCGAATCCCGGCCAGCGCATTTCGGATTTCTTTAGTTTCTTGATTCGAAAAATTCTAAAAAAAAAAAAAAAAAAAAAAAAAAATTTTCTACAACTGTTCCAGTTTTAATTTTTCTTTCCTAGTCACGCCTTCTATGATCATCACGTCAGAAAGCTGGTGTCCATTTTATCATACTATTGTTGGAGAAGGTCTATTTTTTCTCTGCTCACACTATGCTATACGCTTACTTTCCAAGCAACTCTTTCAGTATTATTCCATATGTGTTTCTGAGTAATAATATCAGGGTTTATCAATCTAATACTTGAAATCATGCATTAGAAGCTTTGTGTAACATTTTAAATTTCATGGAATGGAGCATTATGCTGCTGAAAACAGATCTTCCTAACCAAGAGGACAACTCATATATGACTGACAAGCGATATTGAACGAGATTAGACAGATAAAATCTGTTTTTGAGTATTGAGAAACTAGGAATGTAAGAGGGAAAAAGTGCTTTAATAGCTTGAATATTACTATAACATCTATAGTAGCTTGCACAATTAATTTGTATGATACTAGACAGCTGGGATCCATTGCTTAATGCTAATGACGCTATACATGAATCAATCCAACTGTAGTTGAGATACTGAAGTAAATGTAATGAGTTTTTACAAAAACAAAATGAAAAATCCTTAATTATACATGGCGTCTTTTGAGTCTAATTACACATATCCATTGTTTATAAAACCGATACAAGACAGCAATTTTCTGTCACTTTGTAGTTTTATTAACTAGACAAAAAGTATGATCTGCTTTTTTTGAAAGAAACCAAAAATTAACAAATTTCTTTCGTAAAATCACGTTTTTTTATGCACTCTACATTATACATATTTCATACAAAAATTTTTGTCAAACATTCAACGTATTTACACCTACATGAATATAAACATTAATGTACATATGTTAACTTGCTACAGTTAGCCTGGGTTCAGTATTCATGATCTTATGTTGTTTTCAGCAGAAATGAGAGAACCTCTGCTGGGTCATTTTTTTATTAACATGGGTTGTTGTTGTCTTGTCTATGTTTTTCATGGAAGAATAGTTGCCAGAGCCTCAAGGAGGTTGGACTTCGATTTCCACCCCAATTTGAGGGAGAGCACTTTGGGTGGGGATCCGAGGGTTTTCCATCCCTCTTACGTACCACCAAACCACACGAGAGAACATTCGGCTCGTCATATATATAGAATGCCTCTATGCCGCAAAGACACTACATTTACAACATCCATACCTTCTCCGCAATTCGAACCCAGAGCCCTTCGGACTGCAGTAGGCTTTCCTAACCACTATACCATCTGGTCGGCTATAAGCAGGTTTCTACCCCTTTTATAGAATTTAAAACATCTCCTTTAACTACCAGTACGATTTTTTTCACGCATGTAAATAGGTATACAATACACTACACAGGTGCTTCAAGTACGCAGACAGGTTTCTTCTGTTTATTAAAATGGCAGACATATAATCCTTGATCTCCAACACACATATTTCATATCTGTGCAAGATTGTAACAGTTAATTTTGTGAGAAACTTTCATAATACTGGTTGTTAAAGCATTATGCCAGGCCTGATCTCGCTCCATAGCTTTCAGTATTTAACATAAGATCGAACTGCAGTTGAGATAATCTGCAGATAATAAGATGTAAAATGTAAGGTAAATTGAATATCACCTGGCTTTATTGGTACATGCGAGTTCGACGAAATTAATTGGCCATTTTCATATTCCATTACCTTTCATTCTCGTGAATTGCCTGATTTTAAAGACAGGGAGTTTTATTTGCTTGAGTGTTTCCCCCTTTCCTTTTCTTGATTCTTTTTTCTAATAACTGCTATAAAGTTTCAAAATATTTTTATGTCTTATTTTATCCTTCCTTATAGGTGGCGCTGTCCTCGCGCCAGATGTTTTTCTGCGCGTGCATTTTTAATTTTGTTTTTGATTTTGTGGCAACAGATATAGGAAAAAACAGACGATACAGAAAATTCAGTATTCTATGAAAATGTCAACATGTAAAAAATTCTGCTAGTGTATATAAATCTTATTTATTTGTGTCAATGTGTTGCAGGTAGATATAAGTCTATAATTCAGTATATATTCAAGGTAAGCCTTTTAATATTTATTAATTACTAAACTATCAAGATATAACCATAGAAAGATATTGGTTTATCTGTCCGGTTTTCTTTCGACGGCGCAGAAATTATCACTATTTTTCAGGAAAATTCACAGCCGATGGTTTTTAACTAACATCCAGTTCCTCGGAAAAATAATAAATAAATAATGTAATGAATGTTTCAGAAATAAATGTAATTGGTTTTTACTAAAGCAAAATGAAAAATCCTTAATTATATATGGCGTCTTTTGAGTGTAATTACATATATATCCATTGTTTATAAAACCGATACCAGACAGCAATTTTGTGCTACCTTGTAGTTTTATTAACTAGACAAAAAGTATGATTTGCTTTTTTTTTGAAAGAAACCAAAAATTAACAAATTTCTTTCGTAAAAATCACGTTTTTTTATGCACTTTTATCATTATACATATTTCATACAAAATTTTTGTCAAACATTCAACGTATTTACATCTACATGAATATATAAACATTAATGTACATATTCAGCTAATTGGCTGATCATTTGATTTGTTGAACAGGGTTCCACAGGAAAAAAATACTTGAGATCTTACATTTAATTAAATGCATTATTAAATTCAGCATTAGTATCACAGAAATGAAAGTTGCGGACTAGGTAAAGAAAACCTTTAAATGTTTAGATTGATTTTTAAAGCATTTCTGGTAGGTATAAACTATTTTATTTAATAGAGTTACAGCAGTCTGATTATTTTGAAGCATGTATAAAAAACCTACCACGAAGGAAGTATAATTCTTAGAAACTAAAAAGAGGTCTAAAATATTTTACATTTTATAAATAATTTCAATATTTAAGTAGACTAGATTTAAAATATTTATTTTCGATTTTGATAAGTGGAAATGTAAGCGTGTTTCTTTATGCACTTTCTTCTTCTTTTCTTTTCTCATTAAATTAGTGATTAAAATAGTTTCGAGCTCCTTGTTTTGAATTTGTAGTTTGCGAATTAATTATTTATTAGATAAGAATAATTGTTTAATATAATCATCAATTAAGAAAGGCTACAGTAAATTTAATAGAAACAAAATATTATTTCAAAGATATTATTTTATAATGCGAGTTTTTTTTTTTTTTTTAGATTTTTTCATTTTTATTTCATTTATTAATTTATTTAAAAGTTGCAAGACTGAAATTACAACTTTTTTCTGCTTTAAAACTTACTTCTAATTAGCAGAAAACCGTAAATTTATTCACATACAAAACAAACACAAAAGGTAACTAAACGTAATTTAAAATGGAGAGTAAGTTCACTGTGCCATTTATTGAAAAAGATTAGTAAATTAAATCACTCGTGATCTTTCAATCGTAGACGAGTAATTTAAAATGAGAAGCAAATTTAAAGCAGTAAAACTTCCAGCGTCCAGGGATTTGACTTCCCAAATCCCTGGAGCAATGAATAAAGGGTATTTTTCTGGTTAACAATGCTAAAATGACATTCTCAGTTTGTACTACTTTTCTTCCAATATACTACTTTAATTGTCTGGAAACATTTCTGATTGTTTACTTAAAGGCATCATGACAAATATTTTTGAACGTATTGATACGGTTTGGCCTCTTGAAACTTACAGGTAAACTCATTTAAACATGGGTAGGATGATAAACATGGGTTATGACAAAATATATTTGTCGTTGTAACCGAATTGGAACATTCGGTTTCGAGGGCCGTAAAAAATCGTCATACTATTGTTGATGCAAATTCTGCCAAAAATAATTGCGGCAACCCTAATAATTGTGGCAAGAAAGGAAGTATAATGGTAAATAACTATTGTAGTTATTTACCATTATACTAGTAAATAACTAAGATTGATGTTTTAATTTAGATGAAAGTTAAATTTCATATAAAATATTTTATTATTATAATTTTATGAAAAAGGCTAAACAGGACTGAATGGAAGCATAAGAGTAAAATAACTATTTCAGATCATATTATAATTTATATCAAATTGCTAAAACATAACTGAATGATCCTGCATCGCTATTTCGCTACCGGCTTATCTCTAAACATAATTTCATCTCGTTGGTTGTTCAAACGTAATTTTCGATAATGAATGATGCCTTTTCTTTGAAAATATTCTCCGCAAGTGCAGATCGCTCACTTATTGTTTGCCGCTTTTTACAAGGGTAAAAAACAATTGATTTTGTCAATTTTCTTTACTTTTAAGTTTAAATAGGTCGATGTGTACATAGATAAAGTCAAGGGTGTGCGCAGTGCCATTTTTGTGCAATTCTAGGATTTTTTTTTTAAGTGAAAATAGGTCGATGTGCAATGGATACCGAGTAGGCAATTTCTTAAAAACGCGTCAAGCAATGGATGATTCTAATTTTACTAAAATTCCATTGCCGAGTTTTAGTCATGGGCAATTCCCCAAATTGTTAAATCCATAGGAATCAAAAAAGGATTTAAAAATTACTAGTATTTCAATGGCGTCTTAATATTAAATGTTTATTAGCAATATGAAATCAGCGCGTACGCTAGATTGGCGCACTGTTTTTTGCCGGGCGCTATTTCGCTGCAATTTTTTTTTACGGCCCTCGAAACCGAATAGTACCCATCTTTCTATTATATAGATTTATATCATTACTGACGAATACATTCTTTAATAATAAATTTATTACTTTTTCTTTAAATTATTTATGGAATAATTCTGAATTAATCCCTAATTTACCATTTCACTCAAAAAATTACATATAAACAGCTGAAATGCGATTTCTCATTTACTTCTTCATAGCATTTTTCCAAATAGAAATTTTAGACACATTTCTAGAAAACCCTTAATAACTAAAAATTAATCATTTGTGACTAAATAATTATTTATTTAAGAATGGAAGTATATAATATCTTACTGTTGCTTTATTTTTCAAGGTATTGCCACATTAAAATTACATATATATATTAAAAAAAGGCGAAAAAAAGTAAAGCTTATATAGGTAGAATTTTCCTTTGAACTAAATCCCTTTGTTTACTTTTTTTAATATTATCAATTATCGGAAAATTATTATATAAGATATTATATTCTTTACTGAAATTACATTCATTAATAATAAATTTATTATTTTTCTTTAAGTTATTTATCAACTAATTCTGAATTAATCACTAAATTAACTTAAAAATGTTTACAAGTAACCAATTAAATTTTAGGATACCCTTTCCATTTAATTGATGGGTGCATGTTTTATACATAAGTTTTAAGTAGAACTCATACAAGTAATTGCAATATTCATTCTTATAAACAAAAGGCTAATATTTACATGTTTTCTTTAATAAAATTGTTTTGTTTATATAAACATAGTAACTTCATTTACACAAGCATTTCATTTATACAAACAATTAAAAATTTACAATCATTAATATCAATAATTATGTACCATTAAATTTTACACTTTTATAATACATAAAATTTGCTTTCATAATTTTATTGCAAATATCAAAATGATCAGATTTGTTCTTTTAACATTATGTGAAAATAGTATAGCACATAAAAATAAATGGTAATACATATCATACCAACAAAATATGAACTCCTTTTTCAAAAGGAGTAATGTTGGTAGAACTCTTTGGCTTACTGCTGACTTAATGCTTTTCTAAGCAAAGGCAAACACATTTCATAACTTAAGGTAAACCAATTAAATATAAATAAATAAAACTTTAGTCAAAAGTAAAATAATTATATTCATTTCATACACGAAGGATACAAAATATTCATTGCATTTTATGAAAATTCTTTTAATCATGCATAAAAGTTAGATTTACATTTTCCGAGAATCAGTACAAAACTTGAATAAAATAATCAGTTTTTAAGGAAAGAATTTTCATTAAATGCCCTGTTACACAAAATTCAAATACACAAACAAAAGAAACAGTTTCATTTAATTTAACGCACATTTTCATGTAAGTAACTTCTTAGTAAATGTAATTGTTAAATTATGAAAATATTTAGATCAAACACATAAAATTTTACATAATATATAAAACACCTAATATGTAAATAATATAAGATATCACGAAATTTGATGATTAATGTATATATATCATTTTATTATAAATTATTCAGTCAGCTTCATATAAAACATAAAATAAATATTTGATTCTAAATTTTTATATATGTAAATGTAGTTTTAAACCAGGTGGATCGAATTTCCATATTTCTGTTTCAAAATATTTCTAATTTATTACTCAATTCCAAATATAGAATGCAAGTATGGATATTATTTCCAAAAAAATGTTTCTTTTTTTCCCATACAAAAATTAATTTTTTATCTATGGCTATCAAATATAACAGACAGAATTAGAGCAAAATTTTTTTAAATGACAATGTTTCAAATTTTCTACATTTTCCTGTTTTAAAATGTTTTTAAATTTTTAACATAATTAATAACAAATTAAAAGATGAAACTATTTTCATTTTCTGTCAATTTGAGCTTTAGTTTTCAATTGCATCGAATAGCAATTATTTTTCTGTTATACAAAGTGTTTGAAACATTAAGTAAACACCTTAAGTAAATATTTTAGTCATTTTGTTACTTTTTTATTTATAAGTTGCATGCCATTATGCATGTAGAAAAAAAGTTTTATAAAATTAGTCATATCATCATTATGACGAGCATCAAAGACATGCAAATATTTAACTCGCTACTAGCTTTAATTTTTCATTGAAACACACAAGAAGGCAGATCATTGAATTTTTTATAAAATCCTGAAAAAATCGATTTTTTTTAAATTGTCGATCGATATTTGTATTCATAAATCCTTCCGTAAACTTGTGGATATTATAACAATAGAATATATTCAAAACATTTTTGTGATTATCTCTCTACATTCAGGAAACGTATCGAATTGAACATATTTTTCACTATAACTTCTTGTTTCTCTTAAACAAAATTTTAAAAAAATTTAGTATAATGGAATATATGAAAAAAAAACTCAGTGATCTGCTTCCTTTATTTTGAATTTTTAAAAGTAATTAAATTTTATTTGTTTTCTGCTCTTAATTGCTGTTCACATTGTTAATTAATTAAAACATTAACATATGCTTCATCTGTAACATTTTCCGTAACTGTCTTAGAATAATAAGTCAACGCTACTTTGCATTTGATTGTACAGCATCCAGGGGCGTAGCTAGAGGGGGGGCAAGGGGGATCTGTCTCCGGGCGCAGAATCCAAGGGGCGCCAAACTGATGTTACGACATTTTTAGAATTAAATGTTTTCCATCCTTGGCAAGCAGTAGGGGACGCGAAATCTTCAGTTGTCCCTGGGCGGCTGAAAACCCTAGCTACGACTCTGACAGCATCTTCTTGATAAGAGTTTAGAATTTTACTCTGCACTTTTAAGACTGCATACAACACATAATCCTGTTACAATGTTCACTACCTTAGCTCATTATCATAGTTCTTCAACTGCGATTTTTCATAATGAAAAATGTTATCTTCAGCAGAGTTTTGACGCAATGGGACAGCACAGGCGTGTTTCGAAAAACAGAAACACGCTACATTGAGTTGTTGCTGACTTAATGTACTCATTGGTAGACTACACATATTCACACACTACGTATTGAGAAAATACATGACAATAAAAAGTAAAATCCCTGATATTCTTCGCTTTTCCTCAAGAGGACAAGCATGAATTTGAAAAAGTTAATTTTCAGCTCGAAGTCATAAAACTGCATGTCTTCAGAGGAGACATTTCAGCAGAGGAGTAAAACGCAGCTTGAATTTAGTCCAGCTAAAATCAAGCTTCTCCAGGCTTTTTTGTGCTAATCGCTTGAAAATAAAGCAAATCATCGGTGCCGCAGAAGAAAAAGTAATGTCATAGCTATAGTTAACACTGATAACAGATGATTATGAAGCGGTCTATTACTTCCACTTCCTAGATCTGGTCGAGGTCGACCTGAAACAGAAAGAAAAGTTTATTTTAAAAAATTCGAAAAACCAATTAAAAAAAAGAATCTGAAAAGTTCAATTTACAGTCTAATGCATCGAAGAGTTTATCGTTAAAGTTTTAAAAAATTACAAAAAACTGCATTTAAAACACTAAAAAATATCAAAACTATAAGATGATAAAAATCAAGTTCTTTTTTTTTCCTCCTAAGTTTTAAATGCTTTCGCTAAAGCCAAAAACAGTTGATCAATCCGTTCTTGTACTCACTCCTGTTAATTATCATAATTTCTTTACTATTCTATTCCCTCATAATAAATAAAAACAAAAACAAAAACACTGGCATTCTAACTCAAAATTAAAATCTGCTTCCTTTTCCCAGTCAACAAATTATTTTTTTATTTACCTCACTCAGTAAAACTTTCCCACCACCTAAAAGAAGTTTTTATTTACTTGAGGCACATTTCTATAAAAATGCCTTTCAGTTTGCAGAGAAATGCAATTTACAGGTAATTTTACAATTCCAGTTCAAGATGCCATTAATAGGTGTTATTATATTCAACAACTGCAAAATAAAGTGGCTTTTCCCATAAACGCCAAACGTAGAACTAGAATTATATCTCGTTGTAAACAATGATACAAGTAAAGTAATATATAAAATACACTACAGATGCGTGCTGTTTATGAACTTCTAATCACACTGCATCTGACGTTTGTACTTTAGTGATTAATGTGTTTCCTTACCAGTTATTGGTTTCCACGGTTTCGTGGTAGGTTGCTCCGTTGCAGTGTGGTACCAGTAAGGATCTCTAGGTGGCGTAGGTCGCATGGGAACTAAAGGTCCCCTTGTGGGCCGTACTGGTGGTGCATATGTCATCGGTTTCCATGTTGGTCTAATGGGCACAAAATTTGCCGTTGACAGTTGAGGACAGGATGCTGAAGAAGCAAAAATATCATGATCATTTAAATGCATTCCCCTTTTCCCCTTTCTTATATGAAATATAAGGTAAAATAGGTCATACAATTGAAAAACGTGTTGTTCTAATTTTATTTTTCTGTTTTCCGTAAGGAAAATTTATTTTGCAACATTTATGTTGTTAAAGAACGATTCTTTTAATACATTTTCTTCGAAAATATGCATAAAATTAAACACCTTTAAAACTGAAAAACTATAGTAGCACAGTAATTGCATAGACTTAAAGATAAAATTATCGCCTGTGGCGAAAATTGTACTATAGCCGTATATTATTTAGTTATGTTTTTATAACATTATGACAAAATTTTCATTGTAGAATTTTCGTAATTGAAGTAGATGAACTCTGCTTGCACTATTAAGATTGCATGTCTTTCTCTTCTCCCCCCCCCGGTCAAAGGAATGTTATCCGGGACCAAGGCATTTGGATTACGGAGTACCTTTGCAATTAATTGCAATTACCTCCACATCATCGTTCATAAAATTGAAATAAATAAGAGACAAGCAATCGCTAAAGTTGATGGAAAGAGCAGTTAAGCTGATGTTATTCGGTGAGTTTCACAAAAAGATTCAAAGCAATAATCTTTGGTAAGCTGTACAATGTGTCCAGTGTGTCCATTAGATGCATGGCACATGTGCGCAATTCACATCCCACTATATTTCGCACCTTTCTCACTTTGCTTTACTTTTGAAAGAATTAAAAACCAAAAAGTTGTTAACGAAAAAGAAGTTTTTTACGAAGTTGTTAACAGAAGTTTAGAAAGTTCCAGATATTAGGATTTTAAATGATACAGCCGGGAGAAAAAAAATTGTAAAATTGTTGAAATGAATTCATTACCAAAGTAAAATAAGAGTAATGATGTCCTCTGTTTGATGTCAAAACTAGAGGTAATAAAAAAATTCGTCAGAATGAGAGTTATTTATAGTATTAATAGTAACTTTTTTCACTTTTTCATCTGTCCGTAGTTCTCTAAACAACTGAAGCGTTTTCGCTAAAATGTCTTCATGGATTATGCACGATATCCTATAAATTTGGACGCATTTTAAAACATCATATAAAAACAACAAACTGGCACATCAAAATGCGCTTTGCATGTAAAGATTTAACGCAAACTCAGATTTTTGAAGGCATAAAATGCATTTCAGTTAAAATTTTTCCTGACTGATGGTGCTCTTAGTACTACAGGATAAGGATAGGAAGATGAAATTAAAATTATACATAATTTATTTATTTGCGTTCTCTAGCGTATAAAATTACTAATAACATAATACTCCATCCTAAAATCTCAGCTTGACATCTTATTTCAAAGGACATAAATTTGGATATTTTCACGATATTCATGGTATAGCGCTATCTATTAGAGAAAATTTGAATAAAAATACATTTTACGTCCCCTACAAAGAAAAAATGTGTGTCCTTGTCAAGTCTCACTCTCATATATCAATTTGTTGATTTTATAAGAATTTTTTAAATGTATCCAGATTTATGGCACACTTTGTATAAGTTTCACAGACACTGCTTATATCCTTTTCTTTTATTTTCAAGTTAGCTTTGGATTAAGTACAGTAAATTTAAAACTGCTTATAATTTTTTCATTCAAGAGCAAGGAAAGATTACAGAAAACTAAGATCTAGAGCAACTTACATTGTTTCTGAATTTTCATGCCGTAGATGAGCGGATCTTCACCCCTGATGCAGCTATCGCCTGCTTCTTTGATCAGAGCCTCCTCACCATTTCGCATAACTTTTCCAGACTGAAAGAAATATACAGTATTGGTTAAGAATTATTAACTCAAGACGTCGTTTTTAATATGGTCATTTAATTACGTAAAGTATTACATAAGAGGAATATGTAAATACTTGTAAATGCATCTAAATGTTGAAGCTGCATCAAAACTGTAACAGAGCTGGACAAATCAAAATGTAACAGAGCTGTAAATACTTGTAAATGCATCTAGATCAATAAGACAGTTTTCTTTTTATACATAGCATTTATTTATTGCTATAGCCTTGGTTCCGGGTTCCGGGGAAAACATGGATGCTTATAAGTTTATAGTGTCTTTGCGGCATCTGGGTAAAATACTGACAGTCATATTGAGAAGATAAGTGCAGCGGGAAAAGGGTAACCGACCCGCAGATCCGTCCCCCAAATTCTCCATCAAAGTGACAGAGCTGCACAAATCCGTATTGTGACCTATAAGATGTCCAAGGCTTAAGCAAACGGCAAATGCAACTCTTGCCTATTGACCATAATCTGGGCCAATTCGTGTTGTTATCTGTAAGGTGTTCTAGACCTAAAGCCAACGATGGACACAATCATCTGGGCAAATTCGTACGTTCACCTATAAGGTTCTGAAAGCTTAGGTCAACTACAGGTGCAATTCTTGTCTTTTGGGCATGATCTGGGCAAATTGGTAATGTCCCCTCTAATAAGCCCAAGGTATAAACCAACGACAGACACACGTCTCACCATGATCTGGGCAAATTCATACGATCAACCTATAAGGTGACGAAAGCTTAAGTCAACCCCAAACGCAATTCTTGTCTTTTGGCTACGATCTCGACAAATTGGTACTATCATCTCTAAGGTGTCCAAGACCTAAGCCAACGTTAAACACAAGTCCCAACTCTTGACCATGATCTGAGCGAATTCTTATGATCACATATAAGATATCGAAGGTTTAAGTCAATCTTAGACGTAATTCTTGTCTTTCATAATCTGGTACGATAATCTGGGCAAATTGGTAATGTCACCTGTAAGGCGTTCAACTATCTAAACCAATGACAGAAGCAACTTTTGCTTCTTGATCACGATGAAATTCGTGGACGTGGCTGTAGGATTTGACCAGGTAGATTAGAAACAACAAAGTTTTGAAGTTCTGACAATGAAGAATAAATTGGTCAAAAGTTGTGTTCGTATGCCTAAGTAACAATATGATCTGATATTAACGGTTTATAAGTATAGAAAGAAAAACATGTCACATTAAAAACTGGGCCAACAGATTTTAACATCCAAGGCAAATCACAAATTTGAACCTCCTAAATAATTTTATCAAATTGGTGAATGTATAATTAAACTGAGAAGAAATTATAAATCCGTAAATTATTGTAGCTGGATAATTTTATAAAAGATATGAAGTATAAAATTCTGATTTTATTGCCAAAATTTTAATATCAACAACTGGTAAAATTCAGCATCTTTTAGCTGTTGACTTCAAAGTTGAATGTATTCCTAGAATTTATTCATTCGTTTTCAACACATCCATGATATCGAGACTAATTTATTTTGTCAATGAATCACACTGGCAAGCAAGCAGTCACTCGGTACTTATTATAAAATTTCGGTGTTTTTATTTTTATTTTAAGTAAAAGCAAATTTCAGTGTATTTTAAACTCTTACTATATGGTAAGATGTTTTATCATAATTTTTATCAGAATAAACAATTATCAACTCAATGAAATGACTAGATTCCCAACCCAGAAAAAGAATAAATATTCGAGAGAATAAAGTTTCACAAAGTAGGCAAAACAACAAAAAGAGAAAGATTTGTAGAATTTCTTTACTTTTGAAGAATGCCGATTTCCCTTCAGAATCTATAGAATTTTAATTAAGCCTCTGGGCAAAATATAAAGTTGATGTTTTTTTTTTTTTTTTTTTTTTTTTTTTTTTTTTTTTGCGTGTTTGTCTTTTCGCTTGAGATTTCTTGAGGTTGTTTTATTTCGATTATCACCCGACAGATGGCACTACTGATAGCAAAGCATTGAAAAAAGATATTTGTTTCAGATGGAGATAGATGTATTAGTTATTCTGTTTATTCTATATTAATTAGCCCTCAAGAAAATTATGTAAAAAACTGTGCATTACAATATTTTTAATTATAGCAGAAAACCCAAAATGTGTTTAAAAATACCGTGATGGAACGATCATTTCGAACGTTAGTTCTTTTTTAAAAATACAATGATGAGAAGTCCATTGCTATAAACTTGAAACATAAAAATTATATGGTAAAATATATTAAGAAATGCGTGCATAAACTGGTAAAAAGTTGTGTTCGTATGCCTAAGTAACAATATGATCTGATATTAACGGTTTGTAAGTATAGAAAGAAAAACATGTCACATTGAAAACTGGGCCAACAGATTTTAACATCCAAGGCAAATCACAAATTTGAACCTCCTAAATAATTTTATCAAATTGGTGAATGTATAATTAAACTGAGAAGAAATTATAAATCCGTAAATTATTGTGGCTGGATAATTTTATAAAAGATATGAAGTATAAAATTCTGATTTTATTGCCAAAATTTTAATATCAACAACTGGTAAAATTCAGCATCTTTTAGCTGTTGACTTCAAAGTTGAATGTATTCCTAGAATTTATTCATTCGTTTTCAACACATCCATGATATCGGACTAATTTATTTTGTCAATGAAATCACACTGGCAAGCAAGCAGTCACTCGGTACTTATTATAAAATTTCGGTGTTTTTTTTTTTTTTTAAGTAAAAGCCAATTTCAGTGTATTTTAAACTCTTACTATATGGTAAGATATTTTATCATAATTTTTATCAGAATAAACAATTATCAACTCAATGAAACGACTAGATTCCCAACCCATAAAAAGAATAAATATTCGACAGAATAAAGTTTCACAAAGTAGGCAAAACAACAAAAAGAGAAAGATTTGTAGAATTTCTTTACTTTTGAAGAATGCCGATTCCCCTTCAGAATCTATAGAATTTTAATTAAGCTCTGAGAAAAATATAAGGTTGCTGTTTTTTTTTTTTTTTTTTTTTTTTTTTTTTTTTTGCGTGTTTGTCTTTTCGCTTGAGATTTCTTGAGGTTGTTTTATTTCGATTATCACCCGACAGATGGCACTACTGATAGCAATGCATTGAAAAAAAGATATTTGTTTCAGACGAAGATAGATGTGTATTAGTTATTCTGTTTATTCTACATTAATTAGCCCTCAAGAAAATTATGTAAAATACTGTGCATTACAATATTTTTAATTATAGCAGAAAACCCAAAATGTGTTTAAAAATACCGTGATGGAACGATCATTTCGAACGTTAACTTTTCTACATTTTCATGCAAAAGTAAATACAGCTGTGGAACCTCATCAACAATAAGTCTGCTTTATTGAAACTCTTATAATTTTTAAATGTTGTCGTTAAAATTATTAACATTAAGATAATTACAAAGAACAAATGTGCCATATATAATTAAAAAACTATTATGCATTCAAGGTGTTAGAAACGCCTTTTATTAATCAAATTAATGGTGCAAGTGTGTATAAAAATTATCAAGTAGTTATACATTAAAAAACGAAACATAATTGATATTTGCATTAATAGAAAATGGTTTTTTCATAGTTCTTTTTTTAAAATACAATAATGAGAAGTCCATTGCTATAAACTTGAAACATAAAAATTATATGGTAAAATATATTAAGAAATGCGTGCATTACTTTTAAATCATTCGTTTATAAATAATGTGCCGATATAATCTAAAATGTAAATATGCTGAATTGCTCTGTGGAGAATGGCAACAGCGTTCAAGAATTGATGATTTGCCAAACCAGGCGGTTGATCGAAAATGATCATGACACAGGCATGACAATTCAGCACAAATCACACCCAAAGCTGAATTGCATCAGAAAATGATCATGTTATCAACTTTGGTGGCATTACGAAGATGTTTTGCATTTTGAGCTTATTCCAAGTAACCAAATGATCAATTCAGATGTTTACTTCCAACAACTGCCATGAAACTGGAGGAAGCAATCAAAGGCCAGAGTTGGCAAATCGAAGTGGGATGGTTTTCCACCACGACAATTCGCGACTTCACACATCTTTATCAATACTTAGGAAGTTATTAGAGCTTTGTTTGGGAAGTGATGTCGCATTCCCCGTAAACCCCCGATCTCGTATCATTGGATTGTCATTTATTTCGAAGTTTACAAAACTTCATAAATGGTAAAAATTCTAGTCATAACGATGATCTGAAATCGCATTTGGTTGAGTTTTTTGTTAATAAAGACCAGAAGTTCTATGAGCACGGATTCAGGAAGTTATGAGAAAGATGGTAAAAGATCATTGAACAGCATGGACAGTATTTTACTGATTAAAGTTGTAAGGTATTTAAGTAAACAGTTATTTTATGTTCCTAATTTATACTGTCACTTCTAACTTTCCGTTTTCCCAGCCAAAATGCAAATTTTAGCTCACTCGTATTAAGCAAGAGCTTGAGATTGCTTTAGTTGAGCGTGTTTCGCCTGTTGAAGGCCACGTTCTTAGCTGATATTCTATAGCATTCCTAGCTACGGAGCTGCTTTAGTCTTCACGCTGCTATAGGTTAAGGCCAACTTGAATTACTTTTAAATTCATTAAACTGACATTTCTGCATCATCTAACATTTCTGCAGTTAAACATTTCTGCATCGTCTCTGGCTAATTTAAGACTTAGTTTCAGTTTAAATTTGAATTCATTACTTTTGGCTTCTAGCCATAAATACTGGCAGAGTTTGCAAGTACCGGGACTGCCTTCTGTTTAACTTATTTGAGTTTCTGAATAGAAGGGTCTTTTACACGTTTCTTTTACGTTGCGTTTGCGTATCTATACATAGCAATAAATCACTTAGCTCTTCCTGGAATCTTGACTTAGTTGCTTAGTGTATGTTACCAAAGCAACTGAGACTCTACAAAATTATTTTATTTCGTCCTAAAAAACCGAAATTACTTCTTTGCCCACTCGATAGCTATATGTATATTTATTTATTTTAATAAACCAGACAGTCTGTAGCATTATAGTCTTACAACATTTCACAAAACACGAAACGTGGTTACTTATTCCCTCAAGTTTTATTTGAGACATAACTTCTGGGTTGTGACGATTACGCTATTCTTTTAAATAAAAAGTGATTTAAAGACTAATGGTTAAGTCGTCTAATAGTTTAAGTAACAGAAGTTATTGGTTTATACCTTACGTTGTGTCAAATTTTATAAAACAAAAGGAGATACTTACAAAACATTGGAAGCCTTCCATGTCTCTTCTTTGAGTGTAAGTGAAGAGCACACCGTCTTCTTCCCAGCTACCCAGACATCTATATTCTCTTTCTAGAAATGAAAATTACCTTCCATTAATCGCTTTCATCTATTTTCGTGATGTTTAAATATTATGCTAATATGCAGTTATTAGTCCAAAGGGATTTGAATCCCGAAGGACTATTAGTTTAGTTTTGGCATTTTGCGTCGGACTCATAAATGTCGGTTCACTTTTCAAACTGTTGCCACAAAATGTTAAGAGTCCTGCATTATATTTGAAGAAATTAAATAATGAAAAATCTGCATAAATGTATGTATATTTCTCGTATTATGATAAAACAACGGTACATAGAGTCATCGAATTTTGAATAAGGTAATCCTCCAACGAATATGAGCATGTGGAAGACCAAATTTGAAATTTGAAATTTGTTTTATGATCGATTTCCTATTTTTTAAAACTTTGACGAATTTTTGATTAACAAACTCAAGGATTTCAAAGCGAGCAATGGCAACGTTGTGCAGAAAAAAACATTTTATCTCCAGCGCGTGAGTCTCTGTATCGGAAATTCTAAAGATATGCTCGTTTTAAAACTATTTTGCGATATTGCTGTTGCACTGGATCTTATGGTTTACGTGCGAGGAACATGATATTTAATAAAGAAAGGTAACACACAAAATGTTATAAAACGCCCCTTTGGACGTAATTTAAAATCTGAAACATTTCAGATTTTGTTTTTGTTTTTTATTTAGTATATTTTTAAACATTTTATATTACCGAAACACATAGTAGCATATATATTGATACTACATTTTTAAATCGAAAATTATATTCAGATTTTAAAGAGCGATTTACTCTATAAATGATTATAATACGAAATAAAAATATTCTCACATATATAAGAGTGAAGAATATATTTCTTTCTAAAGTAATAGTCATCGAAATTTTATTATATGTAGCTAATATTTTCCGTTAAATAATAAATCATAAATTTAAAGTAAAATTACCTGAAACAGATCAGTAAATTACTTTGTCTGGGCCGAAATGGTTTTTCGCTTATTAATTATTATTTTTTTTTCCTAAACATGAGTAATATGTCTAACAGTACTTTTCTAAAGGAAAAGAAAAATTTGTAGATTAAGTTGATTTAATGAATTGTCAAAATTACGTTTTCTTGAGAGGAGCTCTGTCATCAACTGAAATATGATTTTGTTCTTTTCCTTTTTGGGAGGTAAAGACATTGTAAATATATAAATAACCAATGTGCTAATAAATGAGGTAGACCAGTTCCATATAAGCAGATCTTCAAACAACAAATAAAATGATAAACTGCTACAGCTTAAAGATACATAAAAGATACTACGTGTTGGCAATGATTCGTTAATTCCTAATGTCGCAATTTTATTTTCCCCTTCTTCAATGATAATTTTCGGTTATGCATTTTATGAAGAGGAAATAGAAAAGTCTTCAAAAGTGAGAGGGAAATAAAATTCGGAAACAATCTGCACTGAAAGCAAACTAATTTTCAGCTTGTTTTAAGTTACGACTAGCATTGATTTAATTTTGAACAGTTCGTCATTATTAAGTTTTAAGTTTATGTGATTATGGCAAAACCTCGAGGGCTATCTGCCTAAGAGAAGGGATGCCTTCGTAGAGGACTTTTTAAGGGAAACTGGCTCGTATACGCATTACACATAGAGAAAATCACGAAAGCGCCCATGCAGCCAGCCCGTTCGCTGGATTCGAACCTGGAGCCGAACTAACAGTGTTTAGTGATTTTTCCGCTCAGCCGCTCAATTCGTCATTATAATATCGTTATATTTATCGATGTGTGAATTCGTGTCTGTTAGAGTTTTAAAGGTGCGGAGAGATCCAAAGATAACAACAGAAATTACTGGTTATTCTTATACAAATACCGGTGGCTACGAAAGAATTAAATGCTGTATTGCGTACATTTAATTAAAATGCACACAATTTCTTTTCCATCAAATTAAGAAAGAGTATTAAAACAATTTTGTTGCGTGTTTAAACAAAACAAAATAAATAAATAATTCCCTGAATGGAGGCTCAGATTGCATATAGCGTGTGACATGGAGGAAATTAGAATATCGTTGAACAATTCAAGGTTACATACGGGAGCTGTAGTTAGAACGGCTACAAGACAATGGAGGACCGAAAATGTCGCAATCTGAACATGGCCCTATCACTACTTGTCATCTGGGCATAACCTTTGTTGCTTTCTTCCTGTAATTGCTCTGCAATTATTTAAAAGCGCCTCCGTAAACTCATTTGAGGTTTACTTCAACAGTGCGTTAGGTTGTTCCAAACTGAGAAAGAATAAAATGGCGAAATCTAGAAAAGGGCAACATGGCCATAGTTTCCTGTTTTTATTTTACTTCGTAAAAAACATTTTGCAATAGAATGTCATCTTATGATAAGATTATAAAGTATAGTCTGACTTTATTTTTTTTTTTAAAGCGCGTTTTACGCGTTTCCTAAACACAATTCTGTAGACATGTAACTGCTTTCAATTGAAACCCATTACTAAGACAATGCTTAAGGGGACTCGTACACCTTAAACCCCTTATGATCTTCGAATATATGACTGTTGCAAGAATTGGGATATTTTATTTATTTTAAAAGCAATTACTTCCAACTATTTACATCTGACTACATAATATTGCTACTTTGGAAACTAGTAATCAGAAAGTTTGTGTTGCCACAAATATTTTTGTAATTTAATCCTCTTTGTGACAAAATATTTCGCCATGTTTCCACCTTGCGCGCATGATATTTTTAAAATGGCTAATGGTACATACTTGAAATTTGATGGAATTCTTTATATGGGCACTACTTTCTGACTGAACCAACAATCTGATGAATATTTTAATATTGAAAATTTTATGGACGAAAACATTAAACATTTTTTTTTAATAAAATACATTTTATAAACTTAACTCAAAATAAAATAAAAATTTAACATGAAATTTTTAGAATTTTAGGTTCACCGTAGTTTCTAAATGTTATAAAAGCAATATATTAAAAATGGAATTAAATTATGAAACAGAATGTTTTAAACTGTGCGCGCAAGTTGGAAACATGACGAAAAATGTTGTCACAAAACGGATTATATTATAAAAATATTTGTGGCGACACAAACTTTCTGATGACTATTTCAGAAAGCAGCTATATTATGTAGTCAGCTGTAAAAAGTTGGTAGTAATTGCTTTTAAAATAAATAAGTTATCCCAATTCTTGCAACAGTCACCTATTCGAACATCTTATGGGTTTTAAGGTGTATGAGTCCCCTTAAAGAAAGTTACGGGTGAAAATATCGCGACAAATTCGTTCCGGAGAAAATATCGCAAGGGGAAAATGTGTCGTACATCCCCCCCCAATGGCAGATTACGAACAGTTACAATTTTTTAACAGAGTCCATTAATCTATACTGAGGCCAGTTGTGGTGGTCTCTTTATTATGGAGGCACCTAATAGGTGGTCCACAATTGCTCCTATGAAGGGGCGGACATTTACAGCCGTGCCTTCTCCGGGATTCGAACCCAGGCCCTTCGGTATCGCAGTCAGGTTTTCCTAACCACTATACCGTCTGCGCGGCATGTGTCGGACAAAATATCGCAAGGGGGAAATGTGTCGTACATTTTTCCCCCCAACAGCAGATTGTGAACAGTTAGAATTTTGTAACAGAATCCATTAATCTATACTAAGGCCAGTTGTGGTGGTGTCTTTATTACGGAGGCACTTAATAGGTGGGCCACAGTTGCTCCTATGAAGGGACGGACAGTTACAACCATGCCTTCTCAGGTCCTTCGGCATCGCAGTCAGGTTTTCCTAACCACTATACCGTCTGGGCGGCATATGTCGTACAAAATATCGCAAGGGGAAAATGTGTCGTACATATTTTTCCCCCAATGGCAGATTGTGAACAGTTACAATTTTGTAACAGAGTCCATTAATCTATACTAAGGCCAGTTGTGGTGGTCTCTTTATTATGGAGGCACCTAATAGTGGGCCACAATTGCTCCTATGAAGGGACGGACATTTACAGCCGTGCCTTCTCCGGGATTCGAACCCAAGTCCTTCGGTATCGGAATCCAGGTTCATCTAACCACTATACCGTCTGGGTGGCATGTGTCGTACAAAAATAGCGTGAGCGAAAATAAAGCGCAAAGAAAACATTGCAGTTCTAATACAATATGTAAGAAATTATCGTAGCAGAAAATAAAGCGTCGCAAAAACCTCGCCGTTTAAACGGCGATGTTTTAAAATAACGTCGCACAAATATCGTGCTAAAAAATAAAGTACCTACAAATCACGGCGTAATGATGATCGCATGCATATTCTGACTGAAAAAAATATTAAAAAATCTGATCTGTACACCACAGGACTTCCTTGTACGGAATATTAAATTATACGCATTTTTTCTTGCATTTCGTTTAAACTTATTAGATTGAATTAAATCTACTTCGCCGACAGCGCATAAACCACAATAGAATAAATGCATTCTTTAAAATTCACTCTAGTATTTGTTTACCATAGCGACACTCTGGCGCTAGATTCACTTAACAGTATTAATAATTATATGACAGTTAACTTATATAATAATTATATAACGGAAACTAAGTTAACTGTTATATAATCCAATAATTATATAACAGTTAACTTATATATTTCGTTCATATTATAACCCATAATGCACAAAATTTATATCATTTAAAGAATAGAATTATCTAATCGTTGCCACATGTTCTATTCAAATACTATAATAAAGCTAGAATGATGTATAAAAGAAATTAAGCAAGCAAAACAAAAACGAAATAGTTTTTCACAGACGATTGAGTATTTCTCATTTAATTAATTCAGTTCTCACTTCGCGAGAAGTCAAAAATGCATAAAAACTCAAAATATCTATATTAAAAATTACGAAGTAAATCTCAAACACTTATTTCTTGGAAAAAATTCCAGAAAGAATTAAGCATGATTTAATTGGCAATAATAAATGAATGCGTTATCTTTGTTGTTGCGAAGCTAAGTTTCTCTAGATTGGCAACAAATCC